AATGATTTTAGTAGAGGAAGTTGTCAGTTCAGCAGGATGAGCTGCCTCTCTACTAAATGGTTGTGGGGGAAACCGTACAGGATCATATCTCATCACATTCGCTGCTACAGTACATCTGTGCCTGTTTGTTGTCCTTTTCTCTCGCCCAGAGGGGGTTTCTGTTGTTTCACCAGTCCAGCCCAGACGTTCTCCCTGCCCTCTGCTGCAGATCCCATGGCGTTCAGCTAGAGATCCCCTGCCCTGTCCTGCAACATTACTGTTAACCACAAAGTTGGAACAAACCATGGTCTTCCGCAGAGTAATTATGCATGTACTCCTCCATGGTGCTGTGCGCCGCTTTAGGGCTTCCAGTTGGAGTTAAAAGGATACACGTTATTTAGGGGTTAAGCTTAAGCTTCCACCTCTACCCCACTCCAACAGACAACTCACTTTTATATTTCTCCTCTAGCTAGGTAGCATCATTACATTTCACTGAAATTAATAAGCACATTGTTTGAATAAAGAAATGACCTTATTTTTAACAGACAGATGATCAATCTTTTCATCTAACTCAGCAAAAGCATGTACGCATGTTTCTTTTCAGCTTGAGTTTTTAACTAATTAAGCCGCTTAGTTCTTTCTTGACCAGGTTCTTAAGATGTTGGAACTTTTTCTTGAGGAGTCTCATGATGTGTGTATTTTATTTTTTTTTCCACCCAATATAAATTAGTTTGAGGTGTCCTAATTGCAGGGGATGTGAGTCTGACAAATATGTGAGATTGCAGTATTATTTTCAATGCAAACACTGGGTAGTTTCTTTTTTCTTAGAGCGCTAGCATGTGCTTGAAACAGATTTGTAACAGTTGCTTAGCAACATTAGGAGCTATCATCAGCGTTGTGCCACATGCATTCACTCCCAGTATCCCACAACCCTTCTGCCTTATGGCAAGTCCTGTCCACTACTACTGTGTTTTTCACCAATAGAAAACCAACCTTATGCAACTTTACCTCTTGTTTCCCTGCAGTCCAGTTTAATTGTGACACACACACACACACACACACACACACACACACACACACACACACACACATCTGAGCAGAAGGTGACAGTCTTGGATGAGCTCCCATGTGTCCCAGTATTGAGTTAGCATTCATTATTCACATGTCATTAGCCTCCCAATCAGTCACCATCCATAATGTAAAGGAGTGCAGCGTAGGGTTAGAGAGATGTCACAGGAGTGGAAAAGGAGAGACAGACATAAAGTTTTCATCACAAGACATTAACGGACTGTTGTTTTTTCATCCGTGTATTTCTTGCATCTTGAGTATTTGCCTCAGTGTTTTCAATTTTAAGAAAAGAAAGGAAATAAGTTATGTTGTAAATAATAGGAGGGTTTTGGTTGACATAATGACATGTTTGCCCCCAGCTGCTCTCTAAATTTTGATCGAATGAACCACTGAATTATTTTTCAAAATATCAACCAGTGTTTTGGAAAATAGACTTAATGCATGTTGCTGAGTCATATAGACTTACTCCTAGGTGGCACTCTAATTTCCTAGTACAGAGTGTTGCTGTCTCCATTAGTTGCTCTCAGTGCTTATCTTACATAAGACATAATAAATCAGTCTGTGAGGCCGTGTCATGTCAGGCTACTATGAAGTCATGTTTGTAATGTAAGCTCAGGTCATCCAGATTTGATTAATGCATGTCTAGTAATTATCTTTTTTATCATACCAGCATGTGACCGTGCATAATACCACACGCTTCATTCATAATTACAGACAGATTCAGCGCAGGGTAGTAAGCTGCAGGAACAGCTGACCAGCATTTGGCTGGCAGGTTATTGTAAGCGGCTGTGGATAAGAGCATCAACTCATTCACTGCCTTGAAATAAATAGGAAAGTCTCACTGCAGTTAAAAAAAAAGACCTCCGCCTTGCTCTTACTTTTTGTTATTCATGTATGTTATAATATTTAATATTAATAATTCTGGAGGTCACAAGAATGTATAGATGTAGCCAAAAGGGTGAGAACAAAATGGGTTCGCTTTCTGTCCTCTCGTTTTGCGCAGCAGTAAACAAACACTGTCATTTTTTCTGGCAGTACCCGATGTTCTGAGGCTTGAGCTAACCTATGGTAATCTTGTCCCAAAAACATGTCATAAGCCCCTGTATCCCCTCCTCTTGAGCTCCCCAAATGACCCTCAATCCTTCACTCTAACTCTGAGCTCCTAAAGCTCCTCATCTATCCTCCATCCGATAAAACCTGAAGAGACCAAACCATATTATAGCCTGTTATAGGTTTCAGGGTTATTAGAACCATCAGCTGCCCTCATAAATGTGTTTTTTTTTTTTTTGTTGACTTTGGTCCAGATTGAAACAACTCAAAAACTATAAATTAGATCAACTTTGGTGATTTGCACAAACTTTGGTGATTTGCACAGACTTTGGTGCCAGGCATTCATGGTCCCAAGAGGATGTATCCTTAAGACTTGAGACCCTGATTTTTCCTCCAGTGCCACAATAAGATTAACATTTGTTGTTTTGGGTGAAACGTCTCCACTACCATAAACACTTTGGTGATCCCTTAACTTCATCTAGAGTTTAGCATTAATTAGCACGCTCAATATGCCGTACAGTATATCGTATACATCTTCTACATCAGCATGTTAGCATGGCGACGTTGGCATTAAGTTCAAAGCACCACCGTGCCAAGTACACCATAGTGGTGTTATAGACTCATGCTCATTTTGAGTTTTTTTTTTTTTTTTTTAGATTTACTGCTCCCTTTTGTACGGCCTGATTAATTAGTGTTTTTGTGTGTTCTGTTTTTTTTCATTGGCAAGGACTTGGGAAGCTTTTGGACAGAAAGTTGTTTAAATAACAAGTTGTTCTTTTGTGCTCAAATTTGGAATACATTTTAATAATTCCATCGAGTCCCACCCTAGATATTGCGCAATACGTTTAGTATTCAGTAGTTGTTCATCACTTTTTCAATACCAAGTTCTAATACTACACCTTAAAATTATATTGGGTCATCAGGGGCAAAGATAATCTTCAGTTTTGATACCAGCAACAACTCAGGGCACTCGATCTCTTGAACAATCAACAATTAAACAAGAATACAAAGGTAGGAGAGAGGGAGAGAGGGAGGGAAAAAATGAAAGGAAAGGGAAACAATTCATTGCATTGTGTTTGCTGGCACATGGCTGGACCAGTTTGGGCTGGATTGTATGAAAGCAGAGGCTAAAAAAGAGGCAGAGGGAGAAGAGGTAGCCTGAGAAATTTGTGAAATGATCAGACCTTGAAAGACGAGGTCCCCTCAGTGCACAAGGTCTTGAATCAGACATATTTGCAACTTTATCACACACCCCCACCCACATGCAGCAATGCTGAAGAAGAAAAAGAATGGGGAAAGCAGTGAGCCCTGTGTGAAGAAGGTAAGAATAAAAGGACTGAGTGGAAGGAGAGGATGCTCAGTCTGGCTTTAAAGTGGTTTGTAGGAATGTGATGATCAGTTTCTTCCTTGTCTCTGTGTGATATGGGTTATTGTGTTGTTCTCTGAGAGCTGTAATGTCTGTGCCTTTTTTTGGAAAGGTGTTGATGCTCCAGTCTGCGTTAGTCTTGAGGGTACTGCTTCAGAAAAGGCCAGGTGATCACTAAACTGAGAGAAAAGGCGAGATACAGAAATGAGAGCGTTATACCGTTAATGATTTCATGTGTTGATGTAAGACCTCTGGTTATGATGACTCAAATGTTCTTTGTGATTGGACACCAGCGCTGCCCTGTGCCATTTACTGAACGTCTCACTCACACACAGACACACACGAATGAAAGTGAATGAAGACACTCACACAGACGTACACAGCTTCCTGGTATCTGACGTGCATACACACACAGAGGATGACTCTCAATGTTTTTTTCTCTCCTTTACAAAAACCTGAAAATATTTGCTTCTTTTTGTACTCAAGGACGGCCTTTTCTTTCTCTCAGAAGGATGAAGAATAAAAATCAATGAGGAGTGACACTCATTCTGCTCCTTTTTATCCAATCTGTAAAGCTTTTCACCACCTCCCTCAGAACAGAGAGGCGTTGGGAAAAATCTGCTTTTCCAATGTTAATCGTGACAGAAATATTTGCTAATTTGTGGGCATTATTGAACAACTTTTCTGAGTTAGAGATTAGAAAAAAAACACCAAAAAGATTCATGTTTTCACAACTGCAAACATCCCCCACTAGCATGTATTGTTCTTGTAGTTTTATGGTAGGAATAGGTCAGCTATTCATACTCTGGAATATTATCAGTACATGAAGTATGATACACCAAGCTATTGATGTAATAACGGAAAGATCAACAAAGTGATAGTCATGGTCAGTGTGTGACCTGACTACAGTGTCAAACAGAGCCAGGATGAACTGTTGTACCTCGTGTCAGCTCTTTGGCCTTGTCGCCTGCTTGATAATAGCCTCATTGTCTTTATTATCTTTTTTTTTTTTTAAAGTCAGAATGAACTTAGAGCTGCCTTCCTTCTTTGGAGACCGCAGTGTACTGATTCTGTCTCTTCTATTTTTATTATCAGCCCTTTTTTATCTGTATTTTGTGTTCTTTCTTATCTCAACAGTTTGATGTGTTTATAAAAAAAAAGCTGTCCTTACATAAACATAGCATGGCCTAAAGAGAAATGGAGTCTTTAAAGATGCAGTTTGCAAGTTTTTTTCTTAATGGTTGGCTATTGAATTTCATCATAATCTTAGTTAATGTACTATTAATGGTGTGTGTGTGTGTGTGTGTGTGTGTGTGTGTGTGTGTGTGTGTGTGTGTGTGTGTGTGTGTGTGTGTGTGTGTGTGTGTGTGTGTGTGTGTGTGTGTGTGTGTGTGTGTGTGTGTGTGTGTGTGTGTGTGTGTGTGTGTGTGTGTGTGTGTGTGTGTGTGTGTGTGTGTGTGTGTGTGTGCTTTCCAAGACCTCCTATATGTGTACCAAGAGTTCTGATCTCTGTCTGCTTCTGCTCCCTGTCCACCAGCAGATCCAGTTTGCGGACCAGAAACAGGAGTTCAACAAGCGTCCTTCCAAGATCGGCCGGCGCTCTTTGTCCCGCTCCATCTCCCAGTCCTCCACAGACAGCTACAGCTCAGGTAAACACACACAAGCAAACACACTCTCTCCACATTGCTCAGTCTCTGTAGCCCACCACTTATCATCAGACTCGCTTGTGGATATGACATGTTTCCATTACGTACGTACACCAAAGATACAGAGAGTGTTTAACCTGGCTGTTTCCTTTGTTTGATTGTACTTTTCTCTCCGGCTCACCTCCGCGTCTCCCTGGCTCTCAGTCTCACACTCTGACACTGCGGTTCATGTGAAACTGGGCTCTGTTACAGGATTAGCTGCTGGTGGAGTGCTGGAGAGGGGGAGAGAGAAAGGAGGAGAACTGGGAAATGTGGAGTGTGGTTGAAACTTTGGTTACTCACACACTCTCTCACTATAGTAATGAATGGGACTGCGGATTCAGTTCAGTTTTAACACTTTTCCACCACCACCATAAATGCCTAGCCAGCAAAGCGCTATACATACTGCAATCTGTGGGCAAAAAGGAATTAAATGAGAGTTCCAACTTCACGTCTTGTCATACTTTTCAACCTTCAGACATTATAAAGTGTCTCCACTCTCAATGTGGTCTAATGACTATTAAAGCTTCAGGGGCAAAATTTGTTTTAAAATCAATCAGTGATGCTGCCTGTGAGCGAAAAGCACTCTTCTTCATCACTTCCTCCACAGTGATGTGCATCCTGTAAACCAAAAACAGGTTCCTGTTTTCATACTGAGAAATTGCAGCACAGCCTAAGATGAAAAAACCTGATATGAATAAACCTGTTCTACTTTTGTGTCCTTGTCCTGCCTTCTCTCTTGTTCACATACTGTTTAAGCTGCTTCGGCTGTGGTGGCTGTTTTAGTTCCCGACTGCGTGTCAGGGTCATCCGCGGGGCATGGATCTCCCAATGACACCATTAACTGATGAATTAATCTGTGTATGATACTGCTTGGGCAGTGTTGTGTCTAGCGCCAGAATCTGATGGACAAACAGATGGACGGCAGATGGACAAATGGACAAATCATTCAGTATTACTGGATGGTCGTAATGTGCCGCTCAGGTCAGGGGGAGCAAACTTTTTTTTTTTAAGGTGAATTGAGTACTCTTACTGAGAAAAGTTGAAACATTTTGGTCCTGTGACTTCCTACCCGCACATTTGCAGGCCGCCAGATGTTTTTGTAGGCAAGCATCACCAATCGGGGTCAGCTGAGAAAAGGACCTTGTGTTTCTTTCTCCCAGGAAAGGAAAGATCTGCCTAAAAATGTGTTATGTTTTGTTTTTAGGTCAAAACACTCGACCTTTAACTGCTCACATAGAGCTTTTCCATAGTTGGGGAGCTAATCGCACCAAGTCATGGTGTGAACGGCCAGCGGAGCAGTAGACCAGTGCTGGCATGGTGTAAATGTTTTTCCACTGCACAGCGCAGCAAGGTGACCATAGGGAGACGTTTACAAACACAGCAGAAAAAGAGCCTTAGCTAATACCTAAAATATGTTTGTTGTCATATCATCTCTGTGGTCACTCACTTTGATGATAACAGTTGTTGAAAGAGCAGGTAATCTACAAGATCTACTGTTTCTTAACCACAAGGCTTCGGTCTTACCTGCTTGAATCTTAAACATTTTGGGTATCTTAAATTCAGCTCAGCAGCTCTAAGATCAAGATTGGCACGCTTGATGTAGAGTAACTTTCTTAGGTGACAGTTGGATTTGTTCCAATTTCCTTCTAACACACATCTTGTGTTCTCTTTTCCTCCTTTCTCTTCCCCTTTCTTCTCTCCTCTCCTCTCACCCCCCACCTGCAACCAGATAAGAGCTCATTAAATCCCTCTACCTCCCAAGAACCTTCGTCTCCAGCCTGAGGCTGTCAGATCATGACTAAAATAATGATCTGTTTCTTTTTTCTTCTTGATATTGAGATAGTGAGGAGAGCACTTAGTCTGCATTTATTTCACTCAGTGATTTGACAAGCTCATTTTGGTCTGTCCTATTAACATCTTCACTATTACCGACAGCATTTGCAAATTAAGGGAAATGTGTCGGTGCTGCTTTAAGAAACTAGTGCAGCCCTTTGGTCTCCCCTTTTGAACCCTCTGTTTTATGCTCTTTCCTATTTCCTCCCCACCTCTCTGCTGATTCCCTGTCTTCTCCCATAATTCCCTCACCAGACTGCTTCTTATTTCTCTGATCGTTCCCACAGGGCAGAGGACACGTTGAACTACAACACTAGTACTTTTCCCAAGACCACTTTCATATAGATTTTGTCTCATAAGGCTTCCCCTTAAGATGGGGGTCTATAAAACAGCACATAAATTCCTGAATCACCTTGTAATAAGTTAAGACAATAAGCGTTGATGTTAATATATGTTAAATCATTAACATAAACAAGTCATCAGGTCATAGTTAAAAAGGGAAAGGCACCAATTTAACACATCAAAGTCTGTTTTCAGGTCTTTGAGAGTACTGCTGTGTATGAGGAAAATGTTGTATAAAGCCTTTTTTGTCTCCAGAGAGAGTTGCACAAAGTTTGATACATTGCCTTAAGTGATGTCACTTGAGTCCATGCCTGTTGGGGCTGAAGACAACAATTTTGAAAATGGAAAATAATCTGGTGGCGTAGTCATAAAGGAAGAGGTTACTGGTCCTCATATTAACTTGAGGATAGCGGCTGGAGGCTGTATTACTCCACTAGCATAACCTCTGACTGAGCTGTCAGCATATTACATATTCTAACACTTAGGCCAAGTTTTAGTTGTGGGATAGGTTAAGTATATTCTCATTTTGGCTAGATTTAGAAGTGTCTAAAATCCTTGTGAGTTTTAAAAAGAGATACTGAAGCCTCTCGATTTTAACTTTTCCTTTAGCTGTGTTTGGCTTTGTCCCAGTATCCTTTGCAAGTATTGGTGCATCCACCCTCATGACCCCTAAGATCTCCTCAGCTCTCACTCTCCCCCACCCTTTCCTCTTGTCAGTACGGATGGGAGAATTCAAAAGAAAATGGTACACTCATGGATTATTGCCTTTTTTTTTTTTTAAAGCCTTTCCCTTGCTGGCACAGTACAGCATGTTCTTTAACTTCGGTATTGTTACAGTGCTGGCAGGGTACCCAGTCTTATCTGGTACTGGTCCATGGTCATTTTAAGGGAGGTGGGAGTGGGAGTGTACCTGCGTTACACAAAAAGGACCTCACCTGTGTGGTGAGTCAGCCTGAAGCACAGGAACCACACTGTGCCGGTGCCAGACGTGGAGTGCCGGCACCCCTGTTTATATCTCACAGAGGTGCTACTTCATAGATACTGATGGGTTTCTTTTTTCTGTACAAGTGTTAAAACACATTTGTGCTGTGTTTACGTTCTACTACAGTCTTATATTGGAAAGAGACTGGAGTTCTGTTGGTAGTAAAAGGCTTTGCAGACAGCTTTAAAATCAATTAAACTCATTGCTGTGCATAATGCGTGCCCTTCCAAAGTGAAATTGTAGGGTTGGGGAAAAGTACAGGCTTTATTCACAGTGAAGAAACCAAAGGCACATTGTGTTTGCTCTGCACTTTGAAACCTTAAAAGCTCTGGTTAGGGCAAGGCAAAGCAAATTTATTTGTATAGCACCGTTTTTAAAAACAATGCAATTCATAGTGTTGAAGACATAAACAAATTAAAACAAGATATAAAAAAAGATAATAAAAAGAAACAAGTAAATATAAAAAGATATACATAATTTTAATTGGATAATACAAAGTAAGATAGAACAAAAATGGAACAATACAGATTAAACAGGAGAATAAAGAAATACCAGTGCAGTGCAGGATATGGTCCTAAATTGAATCTAATACAATTTAATGACAAAGAGAAAAGCCTCAAATTAGAAGAACTGAGAGCTGGAGCAGATCTTGCCTTTTCTGAGACTTTGTTCCACATATGTGGTGCATTAAAACTGAATGCTGCCTCCCCATGTTTAGTCTGGACTCTGGGGACAGTAAGCAGAACTGTCCTAGACCATCTGAGAGGTCTGGACAGTCCATAACAGCGCACCACATCAGAAATGTATTTGACCCTAAACTGTCCATTGCTTTATAAACCAAAAGTAGAATTTTAAAATCCTTTTTCTTTTTTTTTCTTTTTTTGTAGTTGTCTTGATGTGGAAGTTAAAATTAAGTTCTAACTCCATCGCATCTGGCTTGGTTTGGGGTGTTTACATTTTTGCAACTGAAGCTGAGAACAGACTTTTAATTGTTCCTTTTTAGCTCCAAAGACAAATATTTCAATTTTATCTTTAACTGGAACTAATGTTGGTACATGCAGTCATTGATTTGTCCAATGCACTTACTCAGTGCTTGTATGAGACCAATGTCACCTGGTGATATCCTTGTATAAATCTGTGTGTCGTACCATAATACCATAATCATGGTATTATATTGAGTTGTTTTCCATAATCTGAGCTAGTGGGAGATGTAGAACAGAAGAGGCCTCAGAATGGAGCCTTGGGGAACTCCGAACGTCATTTTTGTACACAAATATGTAATCGATCGACACAAAGTAGTCACTGACTTTCAAATAGGATTCAGACCAGGGAAACACTGTGCCAGAAAGTCCACCCAGTGAAAATGTAGGCAAATTGGATAAAATGTCTTTCTTTTCGAGAGAAACACCAGTCAGTGTCTGATTCACTGCTCTTTTTTAGTGATATACCTGTACTAACTTAAATCTGGTGTCAGTGACCTGACGGGTGTATTTAATGCCAGTGCTTCCATTTTATTAGTGAATCCCAAAAGGGGTGAGGCCGTGGAGACGGCCGAGTGGCTGGAGGAGGAATTAGGAGACTGATCCATGAGCTGGTTGTCAGCACGCTGACATTGAGGCTGTGGTGTTTTGTCTTTGTGGGGATGAGGCTGCTGTGTGTCAGGGTGCATTATTTTGGCTGATGGAACCAGACAGGTCCAGTACTTTAACTCCAGATTTGCTTGGATGGCAGCCATCTGCCCTGAATATATGCCTGGATCACTAGAACAGATTTGAGTTATCAATATAGTTGATTCCTTTCAAACTGCAGGTTTTGCCGAGCCGTGTGTCCTAAGAGTCTGCTGAACCCGTTGATCTCTCTGTCTCATGGAGATTTATTAATGATCCGAACCAGTGTTCAAGTTGTAATGTCAGGGGTGACTGTGGTCTGCATTTATGCCCACCTTTGGCTGTCTGCCAGATGTCTGAAGTTGAAGTTGAATCCATACATTTTGCTGTCTGTGGGAGTAGCACAGTCTTGAGTTCTCTCATTAGGTAGAAATCCCATTCATAGCACATGACTTCACTGGTTTCAGTAATAAGTAAAGTACAGTCTTGGGAAAGTTGTGGCGTCATTTAAAAATAGTTGTCCTTTTAAATATTGACGCGTTGAAGTGTGATGAGCTAACTCACTGACAGCAGACGTTGGCAGAGTGCTGCGGAGTTCAGAAGATGTCTCCAAGAATATCCTTGTCTCGAGTACGGCAATCAAGTTACTGTTTGGGTCACATTGTGGGCAGCAGACTGCAGTTCAAAGTAGTAAAAATGACGGCTACATGTAAGTGGAGCGTGAGAAGAGCGTCTGCACTCCCGCTTCTTTTTTTCTTTCTTTTTCTTTTGGATAAAAGGAGCCTGTGACAATTATGTTTGTGTGACACACTGACAATACCGTTGGCCATGTGTGCGTTTCTTTTTTAGCGGCGTCATACACGGACAGTTCTGACGATGAGACGTCTCCTCGGGACAAACAGCAGAAGAACTCCAAAGGCAACGGAGACTTCTGCATCAAAAACATCAAACAGGCCGACTTTGGACGCAGAGAGATCGAGATTGCCGAGCAAGGTAAACCCAAGAACTCACTGCTGGGGGGGTGGATGCAAGTCAGTAGCAAAGTTTCAATCCAAATGTAGTGCAAATTATAAAAGTATAAACGTTTTTTTTCCAGATTCTGAATTTCCAATTTCCACTCAGGCTTTCTTAGCAAGTACAAACAGGAGGGCATTCTACACACAATGTGTTTTTTGTTTTCGTTTGTGTGTGTGTGTCTCTATATGGGGGTGTGTGAGCTCCTGGCTAGCCATATGTCCCCTGCCACTGCAAGTGAGAAAACCATTTAAGAACCAACACATTAACACACATTTTTCACGTCATTCCTTAATTACCTCTCATAACATACAGAGAGCCTCAGCTGAACCCTGCAAGCTACATTCTCTCACACACACACACACACACACACACACCACACACACAGCGTCAGTGTCTCTTTCAGCTGGATGAGTCGATGGATTAGTGATGAAGTATAAGAAGGATTAAATGATGGGAATTCCTTAACCATCCAGCTGATTCCTCTATCCAGTTACATAATTATTGGTGTGTTTCCTCCTCTTTCAGAGATGCCAGCCCTGATGGCTCTGAGGAAGCGAGCCCAGGGGGAGAAACCCCTCGCCGGTGCCAAAGTGGTGGGCTGCACCCACATCACTGCCCAGACTGCTGTGAGTGGGAACCACAGGCTCACGCACTCACAGCCCAAACATTATACAGTTTTACTCCAGCAGCTGAAACAAAAAGTCAGGCTTGACCCTCTTTTCTCCTCCCCTCAGGTACTGATGGAGACTCTGTCAGCTTTAGGGGCTCAGTGCAGATGGGCAGCCTGCAACATCTACTCCACTCAGAATGAAGTGGCAGCTGCCCTGGCGGAGGGAGGTGAGACTGTGTGTGTCCTGGGGGTTTCCTGTGTGTGAGACACCTTCCCTTTTCTTCTCTCTCTTGTCTTAAAATATTCAGATGCTTTCTCTTTCACATCATCCTGCAGATTCATTATTTTTTTTCCATTTCATACTTTCCGTCTGCTGTGCATTAAATGCTTCCTGTCTATTTCTAGGTTTCAGTGTATTTGCATGGAAGGGTGAGTCAGAGGACGACTTCTGGTGGTGCATCGATCGCTGTGTCAACGTGGAAGGCTGGCAACCCAACATGGTAGCACACCTACATTCTAAACAAAGCCCATTAAATACGTTTCTTTTTTTAATCCTGCAGTACCTGTTGGTGGTACATGCTGCTATTTTCAGCAGACAACTAGATCTTTTTAAATACATTTTTTTTACACTGTGGGTAGAGGTACAGGCAGGATGATATGTGTAACAGCATTTTGAAATAGATTTATAGAAATGGTGCAAAAAGTGAAGTGTAACATTTGATGGACATCCAGGACTGAATCTTAGCAACAGTTAGTCAAATCTATTTGTGGGTAAACAGATTTGCTTCCTTTTGAGCGTTTAAGAAAAAATGGTTGACTTGTGCTGTATTTTTCACCCTTTATTAAAATGTTCCTCTCTCTCTCTCTCTCTCTCTCTCTCACTAACACTCTGCTTGTCTTTGTCTCCAATTTTCTGTCAGATCTTGGATGACGGTGGAGACTTGACTCATTGGATCTACAAAAAATACCCCAACATGTTCAAGAAGATCAAGGGCATTGTGGAGGAGAGTGTTACCGGCGTGCACAGGTAGGACTCACAACATGCAGTTACTCAGAAAGGTTGAAAAATATCACTTCGGATAAAACCAGTTCTCTCTTTAAATGAGAGGATGTACACGTCAGTCTTTACACACACACACACACACACACACACACACACACACACACACACACACACACACACACACACACACACACACACACACAGAGAGTTTCTGGTGTGGTAACATCGCCATCTAGTGGTGAAAATGTGTTAAGTGTACTGTGATTATACCATTGCAGCATTGCTGTGTATATAAGAGTAGTATAGAATTAATACATGAGCAAAGCTTACTTTTAAAAAAAAATGTGTATTGTGTGTTTAGGTTGTATCAGCTGTCCAAGGCAGGAAAGCTGTGTGTTCCCGCCATGAACGTCAACGACTCAGTGACCAAGCAGAAGTTCGACAACCTCTACTGCTGCAGGGAGTCCATCTTAGACGGGTATGAAACCGTCTCTTGTTTTAACCTCATTAAGGATTATTAAACCAAACATGTTTGTTTTTGGGAGCATTTTGTGTTGCAGGGCAATTACACCCACCTCCTCTCTGCTGCAAACAGTCAGAATAAAGATGAGGCTGCCAGTGAAATAATTGTGTTTCTGTCCGTAGCCTGAAGAGGACCACTGATGTCATGTTTGGAGGCAAACAGGTGGTGGTGTGTGGATACGGGGAGGTAAGACAGACCTTTTTCTCAACCTCATGCACAGTGCATTACTGAGACCTAAATGTTAGGTCTCCTTAGATCTTCTTTTTCCGTTTAATATACAAGTCAAGTGAAATTACATTTAAAACTATAATAAGTCCACTGGGTGGGTTAGAAGACAAATTACATAATCATGTTTTTAAGGCATCAAAGCAAGTAGGAACAGGAATTTTACAAACGTCTTAGTATTTAAAAGGTAGAATAATTCAAACAACTTTATTAGTATAGGTCTCAGGAGAGCTTTGTTTACATAGAAAAATCATTATGACTGTAGCAGAGGCTAGCTGCTGTTATATATGATTTCTATATTTTGATAATACGTTCAGTATTAAAGACTACCAGGGCACATGGTTTGCTGCCCTATTCCTGGTCTATATATGTTTAAATGCTTAAATAAATAGGCAATTAAACCCTTACACCACTTGTAGTTGATATGTTATGGCATTCTATAAGGCGTGATGCCCAACCCGGGGTACCTAGTACTCATCAGGGAGCTTGTGGAGTAGTTCATATAGAAATTGTCATGTGGTTTTTGTGGTTAAAAGGAAAATCAAAACAAATAATAAGCAGTAAAATAACAACTACCATAAGCCAACTACACACTTCTGCACCGACTTGAGTCAGCTGTAACACCTGAACACCACCTGCTGCTGTGATTTGAGAGTGAGCTATAACAAGTTAGCAAGTGAGCAGAAGAGTCATAATAGCTAAAAATGATGGATCAGTGGTTAACACCTCCAGCTTCTGCCACTATAAGAGGTTTATTACAAATACAAACTTGACTAGGACTTTAAACAACAACATCAGGATTGCTATGCCTTGTATGGAAAAAATATATCGCATCCACTTTTATAAAAATTAATAGTGTAAAATAACATCCAGTTCAAATGAACATATTTGGAACAGAGTGATGCTGATGAAGGGTTTCTCTACTCACTGACCTACACAAAACTGTAGATTGTGTGATAATATCCCCTCTTTGTCCTCCTCAGGTGGGAAAAGGCTGCTGTGCTGCCCTCAAAGCAATGGGCTCCATCGTCTACGTCACAGAGATCGACCCGATCTGTGCCTTGCAGGCGTGGTAAGACTCTGCTTGTTCAGTTTGTCATGGCTCGCCGCTGTGGTTCCCATCCTGTTAGCCTCATGCTCTTTATTGTCTTCTCTCCCGATCGCAGCATGGACGGCTTCAGGCTGGTCAAACTGAATGAAGTCATCAGACAAGTGGACATCGTCATCACCTGCACAGGTCAGTCCAGCCGCCGTCTCGCTGTGCTTCTCTCTAATAATCACTGGATTGCTGACTAATGACCTCACAGCAGCTGTACAGGGATTTGTCCTGTTGGCAAAAAAAAAAAGTGGAAGACAAACAATACACAGACTGTTCTGTCACTGTTGGTTGGGGATGACTGGACAGATATTCACTCATTGTCATCAGTGTGTGACAGTTACTAATCAAGTTCTCAGCTCAGCAGCCAGGGGGTTGTCCTGAACACTTAATTGGAACAGAGAATCAGTTGTCTCTCTACTGCGCTACTTAATGTTGCCGGCAGGCTGAAAGCAGAGGGCTCCCTTAAGGTTGACTGCAATTGAACAGAAAAGATAAAAAGAGGATAATAAGGTAGAAGACACATGGCATTTGCGTAGGATTTTCCTAATGAAGTTCCAAAGTGCTGTTAAAAGAATAAAACAGGACAAGCATCGTTCTAATAAGGTCATGCACCAGTCTCCATTAAGGTCGTTTCATTAAAGCCCTGGCAGCAACATTCAGAAAGCTTGTTAGTTTCCTAATGCCGCTGTAGAGAAACAACGAAATCAGTCTTCCTCCCGGCTGAGGAATTGTGCGTGAATCATACTTGATATATAAACATAGCTGTTAATACGTTTTGGTAAACAATTCCTCTAGTTTTGATCAAAATGTCAGATGGATACCCTCACTCAAAGTCCACTTAGAGACAGAGTGAACATGAGTCCACATGCACTATGCAGGCAGGTGGAACTCTCAAACTAAATCACATTTTCAGAATTAATTAACTGCGCTACATCGTGAGATAAGAACTAATTAAATGTTGCACAGTAAAAACCTAGTCTCACAAAAATGGATACAGAATAACTCCCCAGATTTCCTGCATTGAGTCTCTTTTCAGCATAATTGTAATTTTATAAAACTTTAAGTACACTCTAGTCTCTTTCTTTGTCTGTCATTTTCTTTTTGTCTTTCAGATTTTTGCTTTCTCACTGCTCTTTGTGCGTTTGTTCTGATCTTTTCTTTCTCTTTCTCCCTCCATCAGGCAATAAGAACGTGGTGGTGAGAGAGTACCTCGACCGCATGAAGAATGGCTGCATTGTCTGCAACATGGGACACTCCAACACCGAGATCGATGTGGTCAGTTACCAACTTGCACAAACTTGTGAAGTAACAGGAATAATGTGAAAATAACACAGGGTACAGGCCAAACATGTTTGACCAGAATAAAATAAAATAGAACAAACCAAGAGACACAACGGAAGAGCGTATTCAGGATCTGCGATACAGAAACAAAAGCATGGCAATTCTCAGTAACATGACAGCATGTTGAATCCTCCTGTCTGTCTGACCTTGGGCAGCGGATGTTCAAAGTCGTCATGGTAACTGACAGCTTAGCTTGAGTTAGTGGGTTTGCAGTTTGCTTTTACGGAGCCATCAAACCATAAGAATGAGTGTGAAACCAATTGTTTTTTATTACTAACTTTACTTTAATGCTTTTTAAATAGAGGTTATGATCCCACTCCTATATGTCATTGTTATAACGGCTCTGAAGTAAACTAACAACACAGAGACTTTTTCATGCAGAGTGTCTTACAGGGAGTACAATATTAGAATAAAATGAAATCACAGAAATGAATGCTAACCAAAGATCGCTGCCATGTTGCACTCATTACATTCTGCTGACTATAAAACAGCAATACAGAGGTGCCAGGAATAGTTCAAATATGAGATGAACTGAAGGGAAAAAAAAAAAAGATAATCTGAATCCATGGTAGAGGAAGGAAGCAGTTCAGACACTAGAGGAAGTTGTGACTCACTTCTTAAAGTACTTCAGTCCTGGAAAAGACCAAGCGTAATGAGTCAGTGATTCCCATGTTGATAGATGGACGACAGCTCAGCCCGACAGAAATAAGAAGTGGAAAAACTACAAAAAACAGAAAGGTTGCTGATGAGGTTGTGCTCATCTTGTAGGCAAGCCTGCGGACCCCTGAGCTGACCTGGGAGAGAGTGCGCTCGCAGGTGGACCACGTCATCTGGCCCGACGGCAAGAGGATCGTGCTGCTGGCTGAGGTACACACACTGGATCACACGCTTACCCACAGGGCTTTGAAAAACATATCAGGAGAACTTTAAATTCCTCTTTGGATATTAGGACTGTTGTTGAGCTGCACAGACATGACATGACTTTAATAGTAATGTATTTGTGAAGCTTATTATTAACCATTATTAGTCAAATCATGCCAAATCACAATTAATAAACATAGTCAACAAATAAGGTTCTGGAAAGGCCAACCTTGCATATACACATTGCAGGTTAGAGGTGTGTGTGTGTGTGTGTGTGTGTGTGTGTGTGTGTGTGTGTGTGTGTGTGTGTGTGTGTGTGTGTGTGTGTGTGTGTGTGTGTGTGTGTGTGTCTGTGTCGTGTCGTGTCTGTGTCTGTGTCGTGTGTGTCTGTGTCTGTGTCTGTGTGCGTGCAAGCTGTGACAGAATGAGAGCAGTCTGACAGGGCCAGACAGACAACCTGCCAGCCCGTTGCTGCCTGTGTCTGTGCTGCTGTTTGATCTTCAGCAGGCTTTAACCACCATCCTCACCTCTCCCGCCTCCAGTATCACTCTCTGTTCCAACAGTTCTGATCCAAAATAGAGCTCTGTGCTCAAAAAATGGTATTTAAAGTAATAACATCAGCATTCAGTAGCTCTGAAATAAAGAGAGCTTAGATTTCGTTTTCTTTTAAAGTTTAAAAAAGAGCTTTATTTTTTCATTCCTCTTTGTTTTATAATGTAAAACTATACACCCATGCATTTATGCATACATATCCATGTCCTGTACTTGGCTCCATTGCTAAACCAGAGACAGTGATGGGCCACAAAGACATGTTTTTGTAGACGAGAGGATCTGGGCTGTGGAGGCTCTTTTTGTACAGTACTGAGGGGTCAAAACAGCACAACAAACAGGACTAATTGAAGGTTTGTGTTTCAGTGGGTCATGTAAATTGGTGCGTCCATTGGACATTAAAACCCCTATTAAGTTTTAATTCTGTTTTTTTTTCTTCTTGAAACTACAATGCAACCTTTCTCTGTTCCCCACAATCTACTAGCTACTGTTTCAGTTTTACATACTAACTATCTCATTTTCTGCAACACCTGGGATCTCCCAAATTCACTCACTGCAATGCAGCATCTCAGACAGCAGCAACAGTTTACTGTCACACTGAAACAAACAGAACACTCAGTTAGGTTATCTCTGAAACCGATGTCTCTGTACATCATCTCACCCAGGCTGCACATCCTGACACTGCAAAGTTAACGTGTGTGTGCGTGCGTGTGCGTGCGTGTGCATGCGTGCGTGTGCGTGCTCTTCCTCTACAGGGTCGCCTGCTGAACCTGAGCTGTTCCACTGTGCCCACTTTCGTGCTCTCCATCACCGCCACTACCCAGGTAAAACGGGATCAATTTCTGTCTCATTTACATTGTTGTACATGATTAGTTCTGCTTTGTATTTTTTGGTTTTGTGCCTTATTTTTATGAAACAAGAACTTGTGTGTATGTGAGTAACACTTGTGTGTCCCTGTGCAGGCTCTGGCTCTGATAGAGCTGTACAATGCTCCAGAGGGACGCTACAAACAGGATGTTTACCTGCTGCCCAAGAAGATGGGTAAGATTTTTTTTGTCAGTTCAGAATCTGTTAATGGAATAAAACTTGAACACGGACAACTCAAAATACACACAATCGTGGTATAAATGCCTATTGGATAACACAAACGCAGTAAGATATCAGGCCAGGGAGATAAACAATAACCTTGTTTGGTACTTAAGTAGCCACCAAGCAGGAAGTGATTACAGACAGTTTGTTTTTGCCCCAGCAGAGAGCCTGCAGGCATTTGGAATTTATCTCCATAGACAACACAGTCAGTCTCATCTGTTCAATCCAGACTGGTCTCTCTGGATAGCGTATCAGTCACAGTAGAACGAGTCCTGTGTGTCTGTGCACATATGTGTGCGTGCATACAGCCTGTCACACTTCTTAGCTTAGTGCGTGAGAGTGGAGCACATATGTAGTAAAGAAAAACATAGAGCCAAATGTAGGTCACCCTGTCAGCGATGGCTGCTGCTGCTGCTGCTGACAGAGAGATGATGGAGAGGAATGAAAGAAAGGAAGGGTTGAGATGAGGAAAGAAGGAAGTAGGAATACAAAGTAGGAGAGTCATTTCAGATGAGGAGGAAGATGGGAAACAGCGTGGTGGAAAAGGGAGATGGAGAGACGGTATATCCTCGAGCCCCACTGCTACTTCTCTTCCTTTTCTCATTTGAATGATTAATCAAGCACAGACCTCTGGTAAATGGTAACATGTTCTTCCTCTCTCTCGCTCTCCAGATGAGTATGTGGCCAGCCTACACCTCCCCACGTTTGACGCACATCTTACAGAACTGACTGACGAGCAGGCCAAGTATCTGGGCTTGAACAAGAACGGGCCCTTCAAGCCCAACTACTATAGGTATGGAAACATTCTTTTTTTGGCAGTGCATATGGTATGTGTTCGGAGAGAGCTTATGAGCCTTATGTAATGTCACAGACTTCTCAAATAGAAATGTATAAAAAATAAATGGGCGGTATCTCTGTCTGCCTACATAGATTTCCCCGAAAATACTGCTGGTTCTGTGGTGTTAGCCTTTAGAATCTGAAGCCTGCAGTACGCCACAGCAGCATCAGCTGATGTTTTCTGTGCATTTCGGTCTAAAGTCTAAAAAGATTTGTCTCAGTTGTTTTTTCTATCATCCCAACTCGTGTCCCTTCTGTTTTTCTCCTTAAGGTATTAAACAAGTGTTGGGGTTGGACTGAAGAAGTACAAATACTCCACGAATGGCACAGACTCATAGAGGATGAGGAGGACAGAAGGAAGGACGGACGGACAGAATAGTCAAAACACCTGCTTTATATTCTTGGGGGGGGAGGGGAGGGGAGGAGCTCGGACCGAGCCTAAGGGGGAAGGGGCGGAGGGGCGTGGCTTTCCCTGCGCTTATGGCAGTCGTTTTATTTATTCACACTCGACAACAATAATGATAACATTAACTCTAACTCTGCCATTCGCCGTTAGCTACCTTCCTACTCGTCATTTCACCATTATCTCTTTAGACGCTCATTTGTGTGTCGAGTTGTATGTAAATCCTCCACCCTCCCCTCCCCATTGCCAGATCTTTTATTGTTTAACTATTAAAGATGAAATTATTGATGCTAAAAAAAAAAGATATATACTATATATAAAAAAAAAAACTTGATTAAAAAAAAAAAAAATTCTGTGTGAATGAAGATGACCGTTAAAGATTTAGTGACGGACATTTTTTCCTGTCCTTTTTTTCGTTGTCGTCGTCTTTTCTTTTCTACTTGTGATTATCTTTTGTTTTTCTCTTGTGTAATACTGCGAGGGCGGGGTTAGACCTAGTAGGGGAGGGGGTTAGGCGGGATCTCAGGGTCCAATCATATCATGTCTTTTATTTGACCGTTCTATTGAGATTCACCGTTTTGTCTGTTTTTAAACATTTTTTTATGCGTACTGTCCCTTCGGATCAGCCTGTAGTTTGTCAGAACTTCTTGTTTTTCTTTATTTTTTCTTTAAGTATGACTGGATGTTGACCGGTTCTTCCCACCTGTCAATCAAATCCGCAGTGAAACCATCTCATTGGCTGCTTCTCTTTTGGCTTCCAGCTGCTCACGTAGCGCCAGTGTTGAAGTAATGAAAAGTATTTCAAGCTAGTGAGAAGCTAACCTTTTTCATTTTGTCTTTCCCTTTACCAAGAATGACTATACTGTATTAGAAGCATGGCAGGTTGTCAGATCATTACAAGGGGTATACTGTATATTTAGATATTTATATTGAAATTAAGATTTTTCTATCTTTTTCTCTCGTACGCCATCTAATATCATTACTTTTTGGGGGAAAAAATCATATGTCATAAAGGTAAGCAATTAAATGTTCTAATGATAAGTGTAATAAATGTAGTTAAACCCTCATTTTTAATACTGTGACAGAAAATATTTACAGATACCAAATGTGCAGCAAGTTGCTGCCTGGCCGGTACTTAAGCAGAAATCTTCAATCAGGTCCTCATTGAAAAGTATGGTGCTGTTGAGATTTACTGTATTTACCATACATGCCACAACTCTTTGGTACTCACAGATAATCTGGGATCTGAATTCCACCGCAATATATTTTCTCTGCATCCAAGAAACCAGTTACCTTTTCTGCAAATTCATCGGGTTTTCCCCCCTTTTTTTTTTTTTTTACAAAAAGATGTCCAAACTCGCCATCCCTGATTTTTTTTTTTTTTTATTTAATTTTTTTTAATATATATATTTTAGCTTCTTCTTCCCACCTGAAAGGCTTACATTCTGCCGGTATAATGAGCTGCACAGCCGTCATCCTCGGCAGCTCGGTGGAAATTAGGAAGTCCTGACAGTCATTTCACCTGACAGCCAAGTGCACCCCGCCGCTATACCGGCTCTGCACCTGATCCAATCAGATTCTCTGCTAACCTGCAGGGAGACGCTGCCCGCTCTGCTCTATCAGAGAGGGATCAAATGCTTAAACACACACACACACACACACACACACACACACACACACACATACATACACAGTACCTCATTATCCAGGTCTGAAGATTTACTGCTCTGCATATGGAAAATAAATATGATCATTTAAAAGCTTTTGAACAGGAGGAAATGGCACAAAAAGCTTTGTTTACCATTTGAACAGACACATTTGCTCACACAATGTACAAATTTGCCACATTTTCATGCAACTATGTTTGTGTGTGAGTTTATCATGATACCAACCAAAGTCTTTAAAGGAATGCTTTGACATTATCCACTTTCTTGCTGAGAGCTGAGAAAATTCATACCACTGTCATGTCTATATGATAAATATGTTCCTGGAGCCAGCAGCCAGTTAGCTTAGGTTAGCATAAAGCTAAAAAAAAAGGTAACACAATCCAATTACCAGCACCTCTAAAGCTTAGTTTTTGTACAAATTAATAAAAACAGATGCAACATGTTAATTAGTGAGCATTAAAGCTGCTGGTAGGTTGACTTTATTATCTTTTTGGAAGGAACCAGGCTAGCCGTTTCCCCCTGCTTCTAGTCTGTATGCTAAGCTAGGCTAACCTGCGGCTGTCCCCAGCGACACATTAACCATATAGACATGAGAGTGATATTAATCTCCTCGTCTCACTCTCTGCAAGATAGCGAACAAGGGTAATTCCCAAAATGTCAAAGTATTCCTGTTAAATTTGGTTAAAAAAAAACAAATGAAGAAATTTGAAAGGTGTGTAGGGACCTCTCAGATAAACCCAGCCCATACACGTATGTAATGACAAGATCCCACACTGTGTCACAGCCCCTACAACCTCAATGTCCCAATGTCTCCTGCCAGTGTGTGTGCATTTGTCTCTTCGTGCTATTGAGAATCCCCTCTTACAGTAGTGTGACCTGTTGTCAGTAGTTCCTACACCTGTTGTTTCGAGTCTTATTTCTTCCCTTCTTTTTAAGTGTGAGTGTGTGTGTGTGTGAAAGAGTACGTGACCTCTTGAGAAAGCTGATTGTGTGTGTGTGTGTGTGTGTGTGTGTGTGTGTGTGTGTGTGTGTGTGTGTGTGTGTGTGTGTCTGTCTGTCTCTAAATGTCTTTCTGTGTTTGTACACATCCTTTTTATTGTAGGCCATGGTTGCTTCGCTAACAGCTGCCTCAGGATCCTAGCCTGTGCGTTAGGGGGAAGAAACCATTTTTTTTGTTTCGTCAGCCGTAAGCTGACCAACACGTGGGTGGGCGGGGGATGACACCAGCATCGTATATGTATATACATAATATATACAGATATGACAACCTTTAAAAGTATAGGAAGGTAAAAGAAGACTCGACTCCTGTATTTATTGTTGTAAATCCTCATACAGTACAAACTGGCAAAATTCTCAAACATGTTTTAAGTTGTCTAATAAAGAAAAACCCTATGTTTAAATATTGCAAGTGATAATGGTAGATGATGAGCAATAATTTAAAAAATTCTGTAATCTTAATGAATAAACATTTAAAAATTGTAACCATTTTGTGTGCATCTCCTCCTTGATTCCTACAAACGCCTTCAGCACATAATAAGCCACTTTGTCCTCATGTAGCTGTGTGATGTGTGTTGGGAGAAGGGGGGAGCCCATGTGTGTGTCAGAGCTCAGCTGCTGAGGTCCGTCAGAGGCACAGTGATCTCATCTGAGCCAGCAGCCATCAGACAGAGACGTCTCGGACATCAACAGCTGGCTGCGAGCCTTCAGTTATTCTTGACACACAAATCGGCATCACAGGGGTTAAATTGCTAGATTGACACATATAAAATCATTCATTTAGAACGATCCAAACTATGATTCAAAGATTTAGAAATGTCACAAACTGCTTGACGGACATATTTTGAGGTATAAATAAGTAAAGTATTGTAAGTTGGCTTTCAAAGTAAGCTCCAGTTTATATTCTTATATGTTGATTTTTTTTTTTAAACAGGCACTCAACCAAAATAACCCTGATGATGTCACCAGGTTTAGCTTGACTTGGGCTTGGAGACTACAAGCAGAAAGCCTACATCAGAAACTGGGGGGGTATTTGTTAGTTCGCTCCCATTCAAGTAGCATTATGAGAAATGTAGGTTCCAGCGTTTTTTGGAGCTCGACCCAAAGCAGGACTAAACATCAGGAGATCCTCACCCGAGCTGCTTTGATTTTGAAGTTGATGGCTGGAAAATCCCTAAAATCCCTAAACTAATGGTTACCAGTGCACCTCAAATACACCAAACTGTAGAAATAATATTTTCAAAAATCAGGCTTCCTCTTTCAAACACAACTTTTCTCCTTTATTGGCGTCCTGTTGGTTTTCACTTCCCAGTAGCTGCCAATGTACAATTTTAAACCTCTTTACTGCTGCATTAATCCACAGCATATCAATAATGTATTTTGTAAATGATCTGTTTTAATGGATTTATAGTTTTGTCAGACTTGACTGATGATTTAATTATGAACTAAGGCCCCCCCCGTCTCCCCCCCGCTGCTGTGGTCACGTTCCACCAGAAGCTCATGCTTACATTCAACTGTACAATTCAATCATGTCATCTTAAGTGGTTTTCACAGTCAGGGGTTGGTGTGCGTGTGCGTGTGCGTGTGTGTGTGTGTTGGTCGGTAGGAGTGTTTGGCAACCTACACACTAACCCCCACCTCCACATATCAATAATTCACTTTCTCCTCTGTTGGGAGGGTGGCAGGCTGGGAGGGGAAGTGGCTGCAGGGGCAGGCCCCCACCTCCACCTTCATCCAACATTTAAACTGGTGGAGTCACACAGATTAAGATGCAGACATATGAAGTGACCCTGGCAGCAGAATGTGTAAATAGACATTTTATTACCAAGGAGAAAGTCTTGTTTTATGTTGATTCAGTTTGACACAGCTGGTGGGAAACATCATCCATCAGCCGAAAGCTGGTATATTTTGTGGGTTGGTGTTTTTCTACCAGCATCCTGAGCAGCAATGAAAACACAGAGATGACCTTTTATTGCACTTTTAGTGCAGTTTTAGTCAGTTGCAGCACTAACATACAAATAATCTATAAATTTTTCACTTAGTATTTCCTGCCTAAAATGGTTAAATAGTTTCTGTCTGGTTTATATGTTAATGTGGGTTGAGGTTTGTAAGTTTTCCCACTATTGCGTATACTGAGGAATAAACATGGTGTTTTTATAGTTAGAATCAATGATAGTTAGATCAAAATCAGTTTTATCAGAGCCATCCCAAATTACTTTACAGAATGCACTAACCTGCCTAATGTTGCTCTGACAGCTTTAAAGTAACAATCTTCAAACTTTCATGACCAAAGAGCCTATTTTCTGCGTTTATTTTTCAGCAATAGCCATTCAGTGTGTTTACATTCTTTATTTAACCCTTTGGTTTTCACTGTCAGTGGCGGAGTCCGCCATTCATATTGCCCTAACACAGAAGGGATTCACAGGAAATTGGAAATTATTATCATTATCTACAGAAAATAGGAAATAAATAATTAATGTTATTAGTCAAATGAATCTCCTTCTTGGCTAAGCACTGATATCAGCACTATTTTCTGCCAGTAGCATTCATTTACTGACATTCAAGTAAAGTAAAGTTCAAAATATTCGTGCTTAATTTAATATGTGGTGTATTAGTCCTCCTTCAACCCTCCACACAAGTACACTGACCCTGTGTAACACCTCGTCGTTTCACTCTCATGTGGTCAGCTGACGCCCCTCGTTGCTGTCATGATGACTCTCTAACCCCGCCTTCTCGGGGCGCACAGGGACAGCGAACCAAACAGACTGGGGGAGTAGCAGCAGCAGCAGGAGGGGGAGGAGGAGGAGGAGGAGGAGGAGGAGATCTTCAACTTGGGCTCCGGAGCCGGTGCTCCTCCTGGTGCGGTGCAGTCACAGCTCTCCACCGGACCGGTATGCACTACCCGCGGAGGAGGAAGTGAGCCGACCGAGGGAGAAAGATGCAGGCGGAGGACATGGAGGTACCTATCATTAATAACCTTAACGATAACGGCGACAGACAGAGGCCGAAAGGGAAAGATGTGTTCAAGGATCAGCAGAAGGAGTCGGAGGTAAATCGGGAGAGGTGTTTGTGTACAGTGGGCTACTACAGCTCACGGTATAGGAGCGCGCTGGAGGTGTGTGTCTGTGTATGTATGTGTGTCTGTGTGTGTGTGTGTGTGTGTGTGTGTGTGTGTTGTTGTTGTTGCTGGGGAGCTTTCGGTCCTGCTGGATGTCCTTTCCATGCAGTCAGTCGCTGTCTTGGCTCCAAAAGCGTGCATGCATGCAGACAGGCAGACAGACAGACACCGAGGTGTTATTTTGGCAACCGGCTCCTATAAATAACCCAGCAGTAATCCTACAGCGGTGCTCAACGTGGAGAATGCAGGTGGTGAAATGTGACTGCTGCTGTCAGGACCAGGACCACCACCACCACCACCACCAAACAGATCTGGGTTTATACTGGTTTCATAGTTCTGGCTTTTCATTCTCTTTAAGCCATAAATTGTTTATCCGGATCCCTCCTGGCTGACATTGGCTTGTGTCCTTCACTTCTGTTGACTTAAAATCAACTCACTCTCAATTCTGACAGTTCACTAGTCTTTCTAATAGTGAACATTTGCAGGTTAAGGCTTCTCAAAGGCACAAATTGTCATTTTATATAATTAAAAATGGGTTTAAGTAACCAATTTAAGACTTTACATTGGACATTTGTCTTTATTTTACACATTTTCTTTATAGCATGCGCAGTTAATGTTGTTCTTCAGATCACACCGTGAGTATAATGAAGAGCTGCAGCCTTACATTGACATTGATCATGTTTGTGCTTAGAATAGCAGTTACTTTACTTTAATTTAAGGCAGCAACTACCAATCATTTTCATCATTGATTAATTATTATTAAATTATTGTTGCGATGAATATCCCAACCTGACTTATTCACATTGATAAATTTACCAGAGCAGCAATGTTTTAGGTGTTGCTATTAATGAGAGTCTTTAGACTTGATTTAAGGCCTTAACTGACAATACGAGTAACTGACAACTGGAGCTGAAATAACCAACAGATTTAGTAATTGAAGTCCTTTTTCAAGCAAAAATGCCAAACACTTGCTGCTTTTCAGCTTCTCAGATGCGATGATTTGCTGCTCATATCTGTTTTATGTCACTATAAATTGAATATCTTTGTGTTTTGGACGTCACTTTTGGTATTTTTGGCTACTTTATGACATTTATAGACTGAAGAATTGATTGGAGGGGGGAATAAAAGCTAGATCAATTCTTTTGTCCAGTCCGAGAGGCCGAGACATACTGTACCCAAAGATCCAGTTTTACCAGTAAGTCTTCTCTGTTTCTCTGCTCGTGTTCAGTCTCATGATCTAGTGCCATGCAGCTATAATTCATCCCCTCATGAAAAAATTAGAAGATGATGGGTTTTCATTCCTGAGTTGCTCAGCCCTGGATACACGAAAGACGTTCAGCAGTCAAATCTGTCCTCCAGGCCAAAACATCCAGTCAACAACACCCCTTGACATACATGTGTGTGTGATTCTGTATGAGCACATTGAATGGTTTTGAGGGAATTGGAGCATGTTCACCTCACAGCCGTTGGATTCTGGGACGAGGGATTGGTAGGGATCTGGGGAGGGGGGTGTCAATGACATAGACGTTGAAAGCACTTAACGTCAGAGCCATGCGTTGATGTTGATGCCTCGCTGGCCACTGCACTCTGTCTGTAACCTCGAACCTGATTCATCCATGTATGTAAATTGTCCATCATTTGTGCCGGGTAGAGCAGCCATCTCTTGTCTATGTGGCATATGTTGGTAGGAGCGGGGGTGGCCTTGCCTTGACACTGTGCCCAGTGTTTGCACACACCGATGTGGCGCAGAGTGTGGGAGCACAGAAGCGGTGCCAGTTTGGAGCGAGGACGGTGTTTCGTTATCAGCTGGCGGCAGAGAGAGGAGACAGGAGGGAGGGAGACTGGGTGAGAAAATGAAGGAGAGAGATGGACAGGCAGGGTTGATGTTCATGGGGATTTAAAGAAACATCTGAGTTGGATTTGAACTTGACTTCAATCTGCACTTCAGTTTCAGTCCCCTGGGTGACAGTGGGCTCTTCACCAGATGGATGATGGATGAGGCCACTTGTGCGATGAATCAATTCAAAGTAATTGACAACAACTTTGATAGCCGCGTAATCGCATTCATGTCATTTATCAAAGAAAATAGTCAAACACGCTCTGGTTCCAACTTCTCAAATGTGAGGATTTGCTGCTTAAACCATTAGTTGATGATTCAAACTGTTTGTAGGGGTGTAAGAGAATATTGATACTCTTGAGTATTGCAATCTTTTAAGATGTTTTATGTTGTTGGATGTTACAGGGACTGTGTTTATATGATTTAATACACATGGTGGTGTGTCCTTTTTACTATACTATGCTACAGTTTTCCTAAAATTAGAATTTTTAAAATCTCAATGTATCACCTTGCTTACAGTATCGCAATATATTGTATCGTAACCCCTGTATCGCGATATGTATCGTATCCCCTGTATCGCGATACGTATCGTATTGACAGATTCTTGTCAGTTCTTCTGTTTTGACAATCAATTAATAATTTCAAACATTTTTTAAATAACATTTTTTCAAATGTGAGGATTTGCTGCTTTTCTCTATTTTATACAGTTGCAAATTGAATAGCTATATTGCATAATGATCTGTTGGTTGGACAAAATAAGCAATTTGTGAGAGATTTTGACACAGCGAACGCATAATAGAATAAACTGTTAATAAAACAAGAAAGTTGCAGCCTCATTTATCGTTATACTGTTGGTTGGATAGTTTCTTTCACCAAAAACAACATTTAATTTGAGAGTTATATAAATTTACTATCCACCCAGTTTGTAATGTTGACATTCTGTTATAAATTTTAAGTCTCAAAGTAAATGCCACGTTATTTCCTCAGACTTTAGAGAGTTCTGTCTGACATTTATGTGTAAAATCAGTCAAAAGAGGAATGTTTTGAGGTCAACTTAAGATATACTTAGAAATTATTCACGTTATTTAAGTATAGAGAGATAACAGAGGTGAAAATAGACAGTCTTGAAGACTTTGGATGAAAATGAATAGTATAATGGATAAGAGCTGTGTACAACATGTTTTACTTTGATGGTCTGTTGGACAAAACAAGAAATTTGAAGATGTCCCCTTGGGCTCTTGGAATGGGCATTTCTCACTATTATAAATTACTATTTTAAAGCCTAAACAAATATTAAATTAATCAAAAAAGAATCAACACATTGGCAGTCTCAGCCTTATTTTCCTAACAGACTGAGCCATCAGTAGGATGAATGGGAAGGGATTGTACAGTGGCAGCAGTGGATGAATGTTGGTGTTGGAATAGCCGCCTACAGCACAGATTATATCACACAACAAGTCTGTAATAGCTGCTGTATATCGCAGGTTGTTCCCTATAGGAAGGCACAGTGGCAGGGCTTACACTTAACAGAGCTTGTTGTTACACATTATTGACTCTTAATTGTCATTGATTGTACATTATCAAATGATTTTACATTGCAGAGTGAGTTTTAAAAGTGAAGCTGAGGCAGCGCCTGGTCAGAAAAACCCACTGTCTATCCTCACTCGCACTCCAGAGCTGTGGGTCAATTTGTTGAACCACCCGCGTTCCTAAGTGGTTCTCATTTCCTGGTCTTGAGCGTGGTAATGACATCAAATCTCATTGCTTTTGGCTCTGTGTCATAAACAAACTATCGGCTGACGTCCTGTGTATTCCAGTTCATGTTGACTCGGTTGTAGCAGGTATTTTTAGGAGACAGTTACATGAGGGTTGTTTAACAGGAACAGCTGACTCAGAGCACATCCTTATTTACATTCCTGGCCCTTGGGCAGTTTTCACAGGGTTAAACACATCCAACACTCGCAGCTTGGAGACTTCCAGTGCTGCCAGGAGGGTTTTTTTTTAAATTCTCATTAACATTAAATTAATCTTTAATCACCCCAGTAGGAACATTTCATCAGTTCACATCCCCCACCAGAAAGATAAAGAGATGAAAACAAGAACGTTTTAGTAACCAGGCTAGTTCTCTTCAGTTTGTTCCAGGCACAGGTTAAACCGGTTAAACTTGTATCCTAATATCATTATACTGTATGTTACTGTCATGTGTGGACCTTTTACCACTCTGTTCAGCAGTCACATATTACACTATCAAGGTCTTACTGTAACAATTTATATATATATACAGAGGTTATAACTCAAATATATTGCAATATATTGCGATAAAGCAAGCAAGGCGATATATTTAGATTTTTTTTAAATCAAGTTTTAGGAAATCCTAGTATAAAGTACACACCACAACATGAAACAAAAAACTTGAGTTAAATAAAGGTTTTACAGCCAGGACTGTTGAATCTGCATTTATTTATCACAGTCCCTTTAACATCCAACATTGTAGCCTTCAGCTATCTAGCGGCTGGGGCTTTAAACACAAAAATCTATCGAAACGAATGTTTGAAGATCGATACAACATCACAAAACAAAAATCCAGTTTATCAAGTGTATCAGTATTTTCCTACAGCCCTACAATTCATACAATAGTTAGCAAGTCACTCCACTCCACTCCACTCCACTCCACTCCATACCACAAATGTTAACCTCATGGTAACATAGAGGAAGTCCGTGGATAAAGCTAGTAGGATTCATCCTCTGGAGACCATGAAAGTCTGTGCAGAATGTCAATCTGTCCAGTAGTTGTTCAGATATTTTAGTATTTTATGATCAAACATTAAATGAAATGAGCAGTAAATGAAAGCTGTTTCCCAGAAATATGGACCAAGACTTATTTCTAACCTTAAGGCCTTTTCATTTAGCAGTTATAGTGATGTTGTTATCATATGTACTGTATACTGCCCGCTTCTCTATTTTTAAAGGGAAGAATTAGTTTCACATTATCGACAATCTGAGCTGCTGTGTGAGTGTGTCTGCCTGTCTCGGTCTAAGGTTATGCTCTAAATGTGTGTGTGTGTGTGTGTGTGTATATGGATCACATGCTCTTCAGTAAAAGTTTTGAAACCCATTCAAAATCCATCAGATACCACTTTGTCATGAAGCTAAAAACAAAACAAGGCTTGTCTTATTTTTTTCATAGAAAAAGAGTTGTGTTTGTCTAATTGCATGTAGCCATTGAGTGTGCTTATAGAAACTTAACATGTGCTGTCTGTGTCCTGGGCACGTGCTTATCACAGGGTGAGGCTAAAGTCAGAGACCCTCAGTTGGATACAGCAGCTAATCTGCTGTGAAACAGGGGCCATGTTGACTCCTGCGGCCTCTCTTTCCCCACTGCAATTGATTGCTCCACCTGAGCATCTGGATGGGGTACTTTGTTAGAGACAGCATCCTTCAACTGTTCAATCAGACTAATTAATGCTGCCCATAGACCACATCTGTAACTGCGAGAGGATCTGAGAGAAAATAATGGTAACGGCTAATCAACGCTGCCTGGAGATTGAGCAGCCAATCAAAACTCAAGAAAATACACACGATGAGACAAAACTGTGAACGAGCATGAGGAGTGTGTGTGTGTGTGTGTGTGTGTGTGTGTGTGTGTGTGTGTGTGTGTGTGTGTGTGTGTGTGTGTGTGTGTGTGTGTGTGTGTGTGTGTGTGTGTGTGTGTGTGTGTGTGTGGGTGATGAATGTGTGCATGTGTGGGACTGCAAATGGAGGACAGAGTCGTGGTAGGTGTTGCAAAATGTGACCAACCTGCCGCATGTTTGAGGATCTGTTTGCATGTGGGTGTCAGGACATGTGTTATTAGCTGTGTTCACTGTCACGTTACACTGTATATGCTCATGTGTGTTTTTGTCCTTCACAGAGCTCCATGGAGTCTCCCAACCTGGAGTTTGAGTACGGAGACACGGACACACTGACTGCTGAGCTTTCAGGTAATACTAAACTAAAATGCAAGAACACCAGACTTTATGTTATTAGTAATAAAATGTACGTCCCCGATGACAAAGGCTTGTGCGCCATTTGCCTCTGTCACGCAGCAGTCAATGCATTCAATGTATTTTCTGTTACAATGATTATACTAATGCATATAATGATGCTCCAAAGATTTGATCTGGTTAAACAAAAGTATGTTGATGGTGTTTTGTGACTCTACTACCATATCTGCCACATATAAAATCAGTTTTTGATGATCGCAGTGTCGGTCCACCACTTTAATTAAAGATGGTGGTTGGGAGATAGGGCTGACCTGTGTGGTCAAATTTTAAGTTGGCTAGTTTATTGATGTAAATTAGCTGATTAGTGTTGTGCTAACATTGGCTTTTTTCTTCGGACTTTGGTTATCTTTTGAAATATTGACTGAAATATCTCAAAAGCTATTTGATATATTGCCAGGAATGTTTACTCCAATATTTTGAGCTATATGAAGAGCTGCAAAAACCGGAATGGAATGGAATTCCCATCAGCCTTACCTATGTTGGCACGCTAACACACTAAACTAAACTATAACACAAGTATTATACCTGCTGCTTGGCGTCAGCATGTTAGCATTGTGCTAGGACGCTGATGTTAGCATGTAGCTCAAAGCACCGCCATTTTTAAATCTGGTTTTTCATGCACACGTCTGGCCTGCAACTCGCTTGAATCTGTCCTTTTTGCTCATTCAGTAGCTTTCATCATATTCTCTTTTCACGTCAAACTGAATCAGACGGAGTGCGAAAAATTATGAATGGTTGTTATGTGCGACACAAGATTTCACCAGCAGAGTTCCTGCAGTAATACCACTGTTTCTACTGAGCATACAGACCACAATGTGCTATTGATCGGAAAAATAATTCTGCATCTGCATTCCTCAGGTTTCCGTCAGCTGTTTCATGTTACAGTGTTATTAATGAAAAACAAGGACAATAAGCTGACACACTGCTGAAGGCACAGAACAACATCTTATGGTCCTGACATGTTTTCCAGACATGGGACACATTGTATGACTAATGTAATGAGTAATCGTAAACACTGTGATTATACATGCAAAAACCACCAAATTGTTCCAGCATCTGTGTATCTGGTTACAGCTCATGCGCGAGCTCGGTTTATAAATGCCAAAAGATGCATAAATGACGGAAGAACAGAATACAACAATGCTGATAGATTTTTTTCTGACTGTACTTTAAACAATACTTAATTTCAAGCTTATAATTTAGATTCCTCTCCTCTTCGACGCCAATGTTTCCCACGTGATGTGCAGAGGGAAACGTTGAAACACCGATTGAAGTCAAAAACGATTGTCCTCCTGGTAGATGGCAAGCGGCAGCTGATTTGCCAAGAGTGTTAGTCACATTGGCAAACATGCACAAACAGACAGACAGTCACTGCGGCTTTCTAGCGACAGCTCCTCGGGGGTCGGGGAGTGAAGACTTTTCTCAGAACAGGAGGAGATGCGCGGCGACGTGACGAATCGTTACACTGTGCGTGAAACGGATGAGATCACCACTGAGGAGGCAGCAGCTCGAAGTTTGTTTTTCTTTTTGTAGGGTAGCACAGTTTGCAGGAGTTCACCTGTCTCTGATCGGTTAATTGACTAATCGTTTGAGCTCTAATTCTACTGCTCTCTATTCTGTTCACAGAGCTCTACAGTTATACAGAGGAGCCGGAGTTTGCCCTGAACAGAGACTACTTTGAAGAGGACTTCAGAAGCCATGGTACTGTGTGTGTGTGTGTGTGTGTGTGTGTGTGTGTGTGTGTTTGTGTTTGTGTGTAAGAGGGATTATAAGGTCTGTTAAATGGCTGTGGGATAAGCTTTTTTCACATCCCCTAATGTGTTTAACTCACCTATAGGGTACCAGGTGTGTCGGTCCCCTCACTGTCGGCGGCTCAAGGGAAGAGAGAGTAAAAACTGTGTGCAGCGTGTGTCGAAATGAGGTCACAAATACTCGCGCGCTGCCAAGACCTTGCTTTGCTGTGTCATATCAAACACAAAGGAGTCTACAGCCAGTGGAGTGGAGCTGCTTGCGCTTTGTTGCCGCTGTTTATCGCAGAGACCTTGATGGCTCTTCCTCCAACAGTGCGGCTGCTGTTGACTGACTGGGGCCCTTTTTGTGCAGCTCTGAATGTCCCTGTTGGCTCCAGTTTAGTGTTTGAAAAAGATAGTGAAGGTGAACTAAACAAAACGTTCCTGACACAGTACACACGCGACACCTTAGCTGCAATGCTAACATTGCTAGCAGTGCATTGCTACGTTTCAGAGACTCTGGTAGCTCTATCTGAATGCTGGTCTCCATATGAGGCCAATAGACCTTTTTTTAACAGCAGCCATTTTGACATGAAGTTGTAGGGTAAACACAGGTGTCACCAATGATCCTTTTAATTATGGTTCAGTTCCATTTAGGCCAAACAAATTTTCGAACAAATTAGCTAATAGCTAAATCTGGCATAAACCAATCTAAATAAATCTACTCTGACTTTGAGAGTAGTGTTTTTGTGCTGCTTTTGTGCATGTTGTGCTAACTAGAGAGGCTCTGCCACACTAAATGGAACAGAACCATAATCAGTATCATTGGTGACACCTGTTTTACCCTACTATTTCATGGCTATTTCAGTGGCTGCTGTGAAAAAGGTCTATTTGATTATTTTTTGCCCATCTTTCAGTTGAAGCAGTGGTCAACAGGGATTGGCATAACTTCCACTTTAAAATACTCTAATTGCTTTCCCAGGATTACAAAATTGCTTTACAGAAACCATTTCACCTCTCCGGCCCTCATTTCTCAATTTTACACTAAAAGCTGTAAAAGAGATGTGTTTTACACTCAGTTGAGCTCAGTTGTCTCACCTCTGAAGTGCAAGTGCATTGCTCTCCAGAAGGCTGCTGTGGTTTGTTAAGCCAACCTGTGTGAGGCGAGGGTGACCAGGCACATCAAAGCTCTGCTCTTTTAAGCTGTTCAAAGAATGAATATCCCCACAAATACAGATGGGAGGGGCCATCCTGACCGTACGATTAATGTTCGGTTACCAAGAACAAAGCAGCTTTTTTTCAAAGTGAATTATTGTCAGTCTGATTGAGAGATCATGCTTCAGGACAGTGTTTCTTTTGCTGTCTTGTGTAGAAATAATCATGCTTTTGTCTGAATATTTGCTGCATCTAAGTAAAATGAATCTGAATTTGGTGTAATTCTCCACTGTTTGATGCATTTGATTGCAAGAAGCCATAAAGGTCTCGAGCCACCGTGGCACACATTATAGACAAAAGAGCGAGACGAGCTCAGTCCTCTTTATCTGTCACCTCCTCTCCAAGCTGAGTGGTAATGAATAGCAGGATTAGATGAGAGCCTCTCCGGCTGCTGGTCTACAGAGATAGAGCACAGAGCTGCATCTTTGCATCACAGTCTTTTCATTAGTGTGTGTGTGTGTGTGTATTTGTATGTGTACAGGGAGCAGTGTGTGTCAGTTGTCAGAGGATTTACTTGTTTGACTTGTGCTTTTTGTGTGTGTGTGTGTGTGTGTGTGTGTGTGTGTGTGTGTGTGTGTGTGTGTGTGTGTGTGTGTGTGTGTGTGTGTGTGTGTGTGTGTGTGTGTGTGTGTGTGTGTGTGTGTGTGTGTATCAGGGCCACTCACAGTGTGCTCATCAATGTTTTGCACCATTACCCTTAAATTCCAAATCCTAATCACTGTGATTATCATGTCATGTCTAATTTAAGCTCTTCACTGAAGAAAAGGATGGTTTTTTTGACGACAGCGCTACAACTAGAAAGCCATTTTTTTTTTTACATTTTCCTGACTTGAGTAGACAAGTCAGAGTATCTTAAGTAGGGGAAGAGCTGAGCCCCACTGATCATGATGATGTTACGCTCCTTAATGCCTATTACTGTCAGCGTAAGCAAGTGAACAGTCTAAGAATAGAGGACTTACACTGTGGGGAAAAAAGTAGGCATGAATCCTTGCCAAAGAAGGCGTGTATTATTTAATGCTGTATTTTTTGGATCAGTTTGAGATCTACTTTATGTCAGACTCAGTTTGTGCTACTGTATATACTGTATGTACTTCTGGTTTCTCCTAATGACACCACTGACTGTTAATTATGGCTCTGTATGCTTGTACACTCGAGCTTTCAGCTATTTCCAGAGCACATGCAGTGGGCCTGAACATAATATTAAAAACTAATGACAGATCAAAGCAGCAGTCAGTCTCTATATTTACGCACCATGATTACTAGGAATATCTAGGTCAAGGTAACAGTTTGACTAAAATGATGTATTAGTTAGACATGACACGCAGAAAGTGAAGAGAGAGGGGAAACACTACAGAGAAAAACTTAAAAGCACTCAAAAATGAGGCTATTCCCAAAATGGCTGAATTCAATAGACCTCTAAAATGCAAAACATGCAGGTTTGCAATTAGCTTTTAAAGTTGCTCTTTATAACATTACTGTAATCTACATAATACACACATACACATGTAAATGATGTATTAAAACCATATAAAAACAAGTACAGTGACTGTGAAAGATAATGATAGCTACATTAAGCTAACAGTATGATAACTACAGCAAGTTAACAAGTATAATAATAAAGTTAGCTAACATATGATACGGGAAGTTAAAAAGTATGTTAAGGTAGTAAGCTACAGTACAATAACCACAGAAAGCTAATGAGTATGATGGTCAGCTAACAATTATGATAAAGAATAAGATAATAAGTGTAACTTAATTCCTACCTAAATAACAGTAAGCTAATGGTATGATAACCACTGTAAGTTAGCAAGTATGATAGCTACGGTAGGGTGACGAGTATGAGAACTACAGTAAAGCTAAGCTATCAAGTGTGACTGATAGAAATGCTATAGGTGTTGAAGCTGGCCCTAAATTACACTCTAAATCAGTGGTTCCCAACCTGGGGGTCAGGACCCCCAGTAGGGAACCACTAAAGGTTTGCGGGGGGTCGCAAAGCCTTCTTGATTTTAAGAGGTGTAAGAAAACTTTAAAAATATACATAGTAGATCTATATTCCAGCATTTCAGACACTGAATTGGTCAAAAAGGAAGCCTATTAAGTATGTATGATTGAAATAATCTGCTCAAAATGCATTTTACACAAACTTCCTGCAGTTTTTGTGTCCACTGTTTGGGTTCATCATATAGTTTAGTAGCTGCTCTCTGCTGTTATTGCTATGTAATATGAAATATCCATTAAATATGCCACTTTGTCGGGGGTCATCAGTTTACTCAATAAAAGAAAAAAGCCACTGCTCTAAATTGCACTGTACTGATGTGTCCTTCCTGCAGCTCGAGGCAGGAGGTGGATCGAGCTGACGGTGGAGGAGCAGAGGGCATATGTGATGAAGCTGCTGGACGCGCTGGAGGTGACCGACAGAGACAAGCGGCTGAAGGTGGCCAGGGCCATCCTCTACCTGGCTCAGGGTGCGTAGGCCTAATACATTACAAGCAGCAATAGGCCTTTCTCACAGCACACATTTTGTCTTGTCGTAAAAGGAAAAGTAATAATGAAAAGGAGTGTTAATAATAATGATTAATGATGGCTCTATTCTATTCAAGTGTCCTAGTAAGCCATGGTAGAGCCAGCATGCACAATACCAGAACTAAATCGAATTCAGCCATCATTAACTTTTTATTATTTCCACCTGCACTGATGTAAAATTATGATTATGTATAGGAAATGGTGCACGTTTCACATTAGCGTTCAGTGCACCTGAAAAGCCCCCAAAAAGTGCAAACAGATTGGAAAAATGAGAAATGTTTCTCTAAAAATGCAACTCTTTTTTTCCCCCTAGGAGTGTTTGATGAGTGTGACACAGAGGTGGATGTGCTCCACTGGTCCAGACACAATGTCTTTCTGCTCTACGACATGGGCATCTTCACAGCGCTGCTGGAGCTGCTGAGCATGGAGATAGAGTGAGTAGGAGACACCGAATAGGCTGGGGACGTATGAGTCATTCAAAGTTTTACTATTTCAGTAGATTAAAAAAACTGGCATATTACTGAGAGACTCAAAATGACTTGATACAATGCTACAGTGTCACTTTCACCTTGGACCTGCGTGATAAGATTACAGACAGGCTGCTTCTCATGTGTTTACAGTAGAGGGTAAAAGAAAGGTACATGAAGGGTAAGCAAAGCCAGAGTCTGGGCACTCAGCCCCTCAGAGAGGTGCAAAACAGTTCTTCATATCTTTTTAACATTTCCCACTTCGGTGAGGGCCTGTGGCAAAAAACAGGAAGGGAAGTGGGTATGTTTCTCAAGTAAAGGAAGTCTGTATCTTTTCTCTTTTGAAATCTGGAGGCTGCAGGGAGGCCTGATGGTTGCCATATTACTGAGAAGTCATAGGCAAGCCCTGAAAGAGTTTCTTTCCCACTTACAAGATTAAGATTCTCTCAGAACCTGCCCGTGTTTGAAGCTCTGGGCCCTCAGCCTCTGTCCACCTTTTCCCTCCCAACTCCTCTGTGTCCTCTGTACGGCACTGGAGTGAGAGGAGGTCTGTGGAGGTATGAAGACATTGAGAGAGAGAGAGAGAGAGAGAGAGAGAGAGAGAGAGAGAGAGAGAGAGAGAGAGAGAGAGAGAGAGAGAGAGAGAGAGAGAGAGAGAGAGAGAGAGAGAGAGAGAGAGAGAGAGAGAGAGAGAGAGAGAGAGAAAATGCAAGAACACAGGAAACACACTGTCTGTGATGCTTCAGACCGTCTGTTGAGGACGTGGTTCGGCAGCGGCTCCTTCAAGTCATCTTTGTTGTTGCTGCTGGTGTCGGCCTCAGTTGGGATCCAGCACTTCTTTGTTGTTACATAAGCTGCTCTGAGGCATCGTGGCACCGTCGGGCTATGCTGCACAGCAAAGTAGTGTAAGCAAGCCAATCATGCAAAAACACACATGGTGTTTTGGCTGGTTATACAAAAAGCACAAAAAAACGCACCAAGTTTAAAATGAGAGTCTGGTTGTGTTTGTTTAAAAAGCTCTGGATCATTATGATTTTTTTAGTGCACAGACTGTCTCTCCTTTTTTTCAAATAAACCTAGAAAATTATGTAATTATTTACTTGTGTTTTTGCAGTAACAACCAGGCGTGCAGCAGTGCAGTGAGGAAGCCTGCCATCTCTCTGGCAGACAGCACAGAGCTCAGGTACGCAACATAACCACGTCATTCACAGCCTACTCCACGTTCTTCTCACTTCACTTCACTTCAGGAATAAGGAAAAATACTTTCCCCCTTCTGTGATTTTATGTCTCCTGTCCTGGTCTTTTTCAGTTCACCTCTGTATTTCTCATGCTTTCCTTCCTGTCGTCTGGCTACCAGCGAATGTATTTACGCACACACGCCTAATCTGCAAAATTTGATTATGCTCTTTGTCCCTTTTTCCCTCATGTTCATTTTCAATCCGCGTCTGCTTAATGGAATTGATTTTTTTTTTTAACAAAACACCCCTCTGTACGGACACGCAGGCTCACACATACACAGAGCTTCAACACTTACAAATAATTACAGGCTAGGGGAGTAGATTTGCACTTAATTGCTGCTACAAAATTGAAAGCCATTATAGTAATTTTAAACAAAGCGCGAGGCTTTGTTGAGTGAACCAAGCATTTAGTGCACAAAACACCGCCTGACTTACATCAAATAATTATGAGTGGATGGTGCTTCTACTCTCAAGTAGTTGCACTCACCTTTCATTGTTACTCATCCTATCGTGTTATCGCCTCTTGTACTTGCAGACCTTTTCGGCCCATTATCATTGTTTCAGACACCAGTTAAATGCCTACCACACACACACACACACACACACACACACACTCACATACGGTCAATCTGAGTCATGTGTGCTACTAAGCCTCATGTACCTGTTTTGTTCTTTTCCTTGCAGAGTGCTACTAAGCATCATGTACCTGATGGTGGAGACCATTAGAGTTCAAACAGAGGATGACAGACCGGAGTGGAGAGCAGCCAGAGAGGCCTTCAAGAATGAGCTAGGTATGTGTGTGTGTGTGTGTGTGTGTGTGTGTGTGTGTGTATGTGTGTGTGTGTGTGTGTTGCAGTGCTTGTGTACTTTCATAAATGTATTACTCCTTTGATCTAACCATGTTTATGTATAATACAGAAAATCACTGCTTCATGCCCATCATTTATCATCTCAAAAGCAATGTATGTCATAACAGGTGCTTTCATATATTCATGTATCCTAGTTATATCGCGGTATTTCTTAAGAATCTGGCAGTTTCATGATATATCACGGTATTGGTTTTTTTTGCATGACAGGACCTTTGTATAGATTTATAGTGGCTTATTCTACTGTCAAGAGTACATAGAATAAAAAGTAAATGTAATGTCGTCATGTATTTACTGCAGGTTTTGAAGAAATCAGAATGTAAACTATTTTTATTGTGAAAACTGCAACGTAGTAGAAACAGAACTTAAAAATAAAAAAAGATATACCACCAACACTGCTTCCTTTTCAAAACAAAATATCTTAAAATAGTCGTATAAACACAATAAACTGACATATAATACTGAAAGTGTTCAAAGATTCAGTAGAGTTACAGCAGTGTTGTACACAGTATGGTGGTATATGAAAAATTCCTACCATAAGAGAAATTAAAACCAGGTATACTGGGTCACCCATCAGGTTCACCTCTGTACAACGGAGAGCCCTTCGCCCTGCTCCTCTTCACCATGGTGACCAAGTTCTGCAGCATGAATGCCCCGCACTTCCCCATGAAGAAAGTGCTTCTGCTTCTCTGGAAGACAATACTGGTTAGTACATTATAAACACTGACATGATGCACGTACATCTATTTGTTTGTGTGTATTTCTTCCTGTTTGCTATTTACTTATTGGGCCATAACGAGAGTTTTGCATGCTTTTGCTCACAAATTGCACATACTTTAATTTTCCATTTGCAATGCAATTACCTAACCATATAATATTTGTCTTCAAAGCTTCTATATAGTGACTTGTTGGCTGATGAAGATGCATGCACCTGACTCTCCTTGATTCACTGTGTTTTCTGTCCCTATCCCTATCTTCCAGTTCACCTTGGGGGGTTTTGAGGAGCTCCAGGAGATGAAGGTGCGGGGCCGGGAGCGTCTGAACCTGCCCCCGCTGCCGGAGGACAGCATCAAGGTGGTGAGGGCCATGAGAGCAGCGTCGCCCCCCGCCTCTGCCATGGAGCTCATTGAACAACAGCAGCAGCAGAAGAGAGGCCGCCGCAGCCGCAGGGTACGGACCCCTCCGCCCACCAACCCCACACATTCAGAGCTTATCAGTAGCGTGGCATGGATAAAACACACATTACTGTACAGCCACACATACTTATTTCTCACATACAAATACACACACTCGTTTAACTTTTTTTTTGACAAAGCCAAAATCAAGACGTTTTTTAAACAGACACATAGTCCCAGTGTTGTGCCAGTTGTTTATGTATCTCAGTAACGCAGGAGGCAAGCGCGTCTTTTAGGTACCTTTACAGTATGAATGCTGCCTCAGACACATTTTTCCATTATTTGCCTTTTTATTGTTGAACAGCTTCACCTGTTTCTAGTAAAGTGATCCTGTAGAATTCCTTCTGTAACTCACCCTGTAACTCTTTGCTGGGTCAGCTTTTGCCCAAAAGTTCTTCAGTGCCAACATCACTGGTTCTCTGTTGTAAGTCAGCGACGCCAGAGATGATATTGGAGCTGAGACGGCTTTGAGACACTTGTTGTTTTTTAGTAGAGCCTCGACTGGACAGGCTGTCTCTCTCTCTCTCTCTCTCTCTCTCTCTCTCTCTCTCTCTCTCTCTCTCGCTCTCTCTTATTGCCCTCTGGTTTCTCATTGCCCCTCTTCCTTGTGTCCCCACAGAGTGCCTTTGTTGATAGCTTGGAAGGAGACAGTCCCTTTCCCAAGAAGCAGGTCTTTACCCACAAATTCCCTCTTTTTTCCTTCAGCATTTTCTCTCTGCATTGAGCTGGACATTAAGCACTCCTCTCCCTTATCGCCCTCCACCTCCTTTTCCCTCTTTCTTCTCTACCTATCATTTAACCTACTCCAATCATTCTGGAATGCACCAAAACGGAGAAAGCCATATGTTGAAATTCTGAAATATAAAGCATGTCGTCTAGACACTAACAAACTATTGGACAAAATCTGTGTGTTTTATCAAAGAACCAAGTGGTGCCATCCTACTATCTGCCTCATTTCCACTACTTAAAGGAATATTTTGACATCAGGAAAATACACTTCTTGTCATTTTTCTTCTTGTCGAGTTAGATGAGAAGTTAGTTACCACTTTCGTGTCTGAATGTTAAATATGAGGCTACAGCAAGCAGCTGTCTAGTCTAGCTTAGCACAAAGATTGGAAACAGGGAGACACAGCTAGCCTGGCTCTGTCCACAGGTAAGAAATAAATAAATCTGCCTACACCACCTCTAAACCTCACTACTTATACTAATACTAATAATCTTGTTTGTTTGATCCGTACAGCAAACTGTAAAAACAACAGACTGGAACTAGTCCTGGTTACCTTGCAACGTCAAGGTGACGACAAGACATGAGATTGGTAGTGATTTTCATATCTAACCCTGTCGAGAAGACAGCAAGTAACTCCAAAAATGTTGAACTATTCCTTTAATTTAATCATCATTGCATCATTGCATGTTTTCTTCAATTTAGTTTTTTTACCTTTCTTATTTTCCTCTTTCACTTCTGCCTTTTCTTTCATTCTTATCTTTAATTTCTCGTTCATACACGCCAGTTTCCTCCACTCCCTTATTTCCATCCGCCTTATACATATATACTTAACTAAGTACTTCCTTATACACTTACTTACTTCCGACTGTTTTCCACTTTCTTTTCCATCTCATATTTCTATTGTTTTTCTTGCTTTTATCCTCTTCCTCCTCCTCTTCTTCCTCTCTGTCCTCTCACTCTCCCCTTTCCTCCTTCCTTCCAATGCTTATTCCGCCATTTTCATCTCCATCTCCTTCCTCTTCCCCCTCGCCGTCCACTAACACCTCCTACTGTCCCTCCCCCTCTTCTGCTCACCTCTATTTTCTCTCCTCCTCCTCCTGCTCCTCCTCCTCTCTCCTCCTCCTCCTCCTCCACTGTCGCCTGCTCAGTACAGGGGGCGAGGTTTGAGAGACAGGGCTGACTTGCTGGCTGTTGTCATTGGTGCTGGAGTGGTCACTTCAGACATCTACTGTAGTAGCATCTTCCCCGTAGTTTCCATCACATCGCTACCAGGTTTGGCCTCAAAAACCACCTTGCTCTATAGACTCTGGACTAGGGGCCAATGTCCTTTTAAAATGCATTCATTGAGGAGGTGAACTGAGATCGTCATGAACATATTTTTCTCTTCTGTAGGTATTTGGTTTCCCTGCTGATCTCTCTCTTAAATGGATGTCATTGAAAGCAGTTGTCCCCTAACCCTGATAGGAAAACACTAGCTTTACCTCCCACATAGCAGTGAATGGCTTCTCCATAGAGAATGGCTCACAACACGGTTGTCACCTCTCCCTCCCGCCCTCCCTCCCTCCCACCATACACTCACTGTACTCCTCACTTAGTCCACCGGTAGTACTACCACTGGCGCACCATACATCGACTGCACTAGCTCAACTAATGTCCAGAACGCTGACTCATGCCTGATGCTTGCACTACTGCCACAGTCATTCATTGGAGAAGATATGTGTATGTGAATGTGTGTTTGGCACTTGAATTGCAATGGGTTTGTTTTGTAGATAAGAGCTCAATATAAAGTCTTAGCCTTACTGGGCCTTGCTTGCATTTTCTTGTATTTTTTGAAGTGCAGATGTGTGGTAAGTTCAATCAGTAATGTTGCTTGCGGTTGCTTTGGAAAGCCATCCTTTTCTTGCCACGTTGAGAGAATGTCCCATTGATTTTAGTTGCCCGTTCAGGATTTTGTTAATTCAAATGTTTTTAACATGAGCAAAAGCAAAGAGTTAAAAGAAGAGTTTGACATTCTGAGAAAGCTCATTTGCTTTCTTGCCAGGAGTTTGAGGAAAAAATACCACTCTCATATTTGTATGCTAGGCTAGCTGTTTATCCCTGTCTCCAGTTTTTATGGTCTGGCTCTAGCTTCGTATTTAACAGATAAATATGAGAGTGGTTGCTTTTGATTTTCTCATCTCACACTCTGTAAGAAAGAGAATAAGAATATTTTCTCAAAATGTTGAACCATTAAAAAAAAAAGTGAAGTCCTTTAGGATACATTAATACTTACATTTTGATCTATTCCACAAATGTTAATGTTAGTGTTATTAGTTGTTAGGCTGCTCACTATATGTTTTCAGTGTGGCCAATATTTGATATATCTGAAATAACTCTTGTTCTCAGCAGCTTTCTGTAATGCTTTGTCGCCAAGAAACTCACCTTATCTGTTCCCCTACTGCTACAGCTATAGCTGCAGTCTGAACTTGGCCCATTATGTTCTCTGCAATTGGGAGATACTAAATCCTGCTGTGTATATATTTAATGCATTGCAAAACAAATGGAAATAATGCAAACTAGATGTATAGACACCAGTATATTGACCATAACTCAAAATGTCTGGACCTCTTTAAAATATAAGAAGAGTTTCCTCTTTTGATTCCCATTAGATTGGTTTTAAGTTAACTATTTGACAATATCACAAAGTATATAGCCTGTTTCAGCTTGTCCCAATTCTTAATTGAAGAGTTTGAATTTAATCTTTTTAAAATAAATGTATGGCTGCACCTTCTCATCAAATGGAAATATCTAAATGTCTTTGGCATCGTTTTAACATTTCTAAAAACTTTGTGACGTATTTGTTATTTTTGGAAACCTTCCACTAGAGTTTAAAATAAAGTGGGTTTGACTAATTAACAGCATGAGTTTCCTTGTTATGGGTTTAAACGTGGTTTTAAAATGACCTTATAATAAATAGTGGAGAGAGTTTTCACGTCTGAAAAGCCAGAGCTGAAGTGCCTTAAACACGTTAACTAGCAGTCTGTAGTAACTGTAAGCTTATGAGAAAATTACCCTACTTCTCACTTGATTTAATACATCAGTAAAAATAGACGAAGAAGCAGGGTATGCTTTAGTGCGTGTGATTGACAAGTTGCTACCATGGCAAGTCCTCCGGTTCTCAGTCAATCAGGATAGAGGCAGCTCCACACTCTCGCACAAATATGGTCACTTCTGAGTCCAAAAAAACAAACTTGGCAACAAACTTAAAAACTTTAGTACAAGAACCAATGGGTGACGTCATGGTGGGTTTACACTTGGTTCAAGGTAATACGTGTTATCAACTAAAGTGTATGTGGTGGTTCATTTCTCAGTTTTTAGTTACTCCTCCGTGTGTGTTTATAGGTCATGTTACTCTTGACATTAGTCCTCCCAGTCCTCCCAGTGCAGTTGAACACCTGTCCTCTCTCTCCCTCCCAGCCCCTGGTCAAGCAGGACAGCCTGGACACTTACAACGAGCGGGATCCCTTCAAGAACGACGACGCCCGGGACGAGGAGGAGGACCCCGAGGACACAGACAGCGGCATCGAGGGCGAGGTGGACCCCTTGGACCGCGATGTCATCATCCAGCCCCCGCCTCCTCCGCCTCCCCTCAGACCCCCCACAGAAAGGGTCAACTTCCCAAAGGGCCTCCCCTGGGCCCCTAAAGTCAGGTTAACTGCACAGTTTTCATTTCTGGTTTAACCTGCACTTAATAGTCTGAAGTAAACACACATTAAGTGTAAAATACTGCTTAATGTTTTTATATTGTTAACAATACAAAGTTGCCATTATGTGCTTGTACTCTAAGTGCTCCAAAGTGCCCTCTCACAGTTTTAATTCTGCCTTTATTCGGGATAAATTACACTGATTATATCCACACATAATCCTAGAAGTCAGCAAGGAAGTGTTAACAAAGATCCTGCACACAAAATGGCATTAAAATCAGCTTAGGTGAGACCTTTCAATGGAAAATAATACGGCTACTCATTACTTTAGCTGTTGATAATCCCTGTCCGATCTTTTATTAGTTTAAAAGCTCTCATACCACAGAATAAAACCTCAGAATGATGCTTGGCCACCTGCCATTTTGACCACTAGAACAGAGAAAACTTCCCACCCACAGCCACGACTTAACACCATTTGGCTGGCAGCTGGTGTCAGTTTCCCACCCTGAATCTGTGCCACCATTCAAGGAGTTAAAAAAACAAAATTAGAAAACTCTCAGTTTTTTGTCCTCGCTATCATCTCACAATACGCTCTCCATCTGTGTGTTCCAGACAGTAGCATGTGTGTCTTCCCAGGGTGCTGCCGCTGCTTTTGGGACATGAATAAAGCAACTGAGAGATGACACACACATTATGTAGTACTGCATTTATCGTGCATTCATTATCAGAAAACCTACACTACTCTATCCTTTAGTGAACCTGATCATTAAGTGTGTTTACCGCAATGTCTGTGGATCCGAGTGCTGCAACAAACAGGGCTGATTAAGTGCCGATTAGTAGGAGGCTCTGAAGCCTTCACACTCAGAGCAGCAGCAGTGTGACTGATGAGATTTGAGAAAGCTAATGCAGTGTGCTGTGCTCTTCTACTTTGTTTGTGTGGGTGTGTGCACACATGTAAGTGCTCCCTTGAAAAATGGCTGTTTTAGTTGCTCGTTGGTATGCAGGAGTGTGGCAGCAGGTGTTCCTCAAATGAATTTAAAATCTGACTGCAGCCTGTGTGCGTGTCTGTGTGCGTACAGGGAGAAAGACATCGAGCACTTCCTTGAGACCAGTAGGAACAAGTTCATCGGTTTTACTCTGGGAAAGTAGGTATTTCATCTGAGACAATAAAATATAATTTCATCTTTTTCCTCTTTCAGTCTGGTGAAATGATGTTCATTGTTTTGCAGTGATATAGATACTCTGGTGGGCTTGCCCAGGCCCATCCATGAGAGCGTCAAGACTCTTAAACAGGTGAGTGAGGACATCTCATCCTCTCTATATTTCTCACTCTCAGTCACTAATACACAGATCCACTTTTCCCGATGTCCTTCTTCACTTTTGCTGTACCTCATTATCGCCGCAGTGTTTTTTCCTAATCAATACTGCCTTACAGCTAAGTACCCTGACATTGACATCCCGCTTTAAAAATCTATACTTCCTCTTTAAACAAACTGAGAATTGTACTTACACAGAGAATCACCCCCCGTGGTGTCATTTAGCAATGCTAATGAACACTTCTTCTAACACATTTTATATACATTTTTATATCTATAAGTTCTTAGTTTCATAACGTCTCTTCCCCAGCACAAATATGTGTCCATCGCTGAGGTCCAGATCAAACGGGAGGAGGAGCTGCAACAGTGTCCACTGACTCTGGTCGGTAATTTCACCATGAATCTTTCTCTTTATCTAAAGCCACGCAGAAACATGAACTGAATATTTAACGTGGTGAATATTTATTGAAGACAGAAACAAGACTGTGTTCCCAGCCCCTAAAACGTGGGTGATCTGAGAATGCCGTTTGTGCACACGATTTTATGTGTGTTGTGTCGTGTAGGGCGAGGAGGAGGTGGAAGAGACACCAACAGAGATGCTGTACCTCGGCATGCTTCCTAACCTCTCCCAATACGTGGTGAGTGGCTCATAATCTACTTCTGATTGGCATTATTGACCCTGGATTCATACTATTCTGCTGCCAAATGTGTTTTTGTAGCTCAACAATTACACAAACACAGTCATTATCAAGCATTATTATGTCATCCAAAGCACATTTTACCTTTTGCACAACAAAATAAAGATCTCAAACACAGCTGAGGCCTAATATTTAGTTGTTACTTGTGTCAGATTGCCCTCCTGAAGCTGCTGCTGGCTGCAGCTCCAACCTCCAAAGCCAAAACTGACTCAATTAACATCTTGGCTGATGTGCTGCCTGAGGAGATGCCGTAAGTAGAAAGACTGCTGCAGTTTGTCAGATTTTTTTTTTCTGATGGTGCTGTTTATATACCTCTGCAAACATCTAGAGCCACATTCACATCAGGGGCTTGAAGATAAAATATACTTATGTTGTCAAATTTCACCACATTTTACAACTGCTGTTTGTTGAGCAGTAGATTGTTAATAAAAGGATGCAAAGGGAAAAATAAACCCTCTGAGGAGCAACATCTTTTCATGTATCAGCATGGGTATATGGAATACTATTGAAAATGCACTTATACTGGGATGTTTTTGGTCTGCAGTGTGACCTAGTTTTAGACTAGCTGACACTCGCCCAGAGACCTTAAAGACGACTCACAACAATGAAATCTGTGCTCTTTCAGCTGGGTTTGACGCTGTCCACTTTTTATTTATCCAGCTGTACCTGGAAAAACCTCAGCTGCATCGTCAACAGATTAATCAGAATATCTGTTTTCAAAAGAGCGTGAACAGTCTGTCTCTTCATGGTTATGTTTTCCTTTTATTGAGGCAAAGCTGTATTATTATTAGAGACCCGAAGGCTTTACAGTTAGTGTTTGTGTGTCCTCCAGTATCACGGTCCTCCAGAGCATGAAGCTGGGAATCGACGTGAACCGCCACAAGGAAATCATCGTCAAGGCCATCTCTGCTCTGCTCCTGCTCCTCCTCAAACACTTCAAACTCAACCATATTTATCAGGTTACACAAACCCACACACACACACACACACACACACACACCTACAGGCACCTCACATTACCATCCTCTTACATTATTCTCCTCTTTCTCTACCTCACCTTCCCCCACACACATACACCCTCCACCTGATTATCCGGTCGAGCGTGCCATTATTTTCATCCTCCTCTCCACCCCCACCTTTGGACCTCCACCTCCCCCACCACTCGCGCCTCACATCCTCATGCATCACCCTCATAACCTCAGAGAGGTGGTCTAAAATCTGCTTCTTTTTTTAAGGAGGATTTGTCCCTTTATGTCCTGTTTTATTTCCACAATCAGCACATTGGTTCAGTGGAATAGGAATATTTTCTGTTCCTAGGAAGGGACATTCCTTCACACTCTTTTAACTGGCTGCTCTGTAGAGTTATAGTGGTAGCGCCCTCTGCTGCCACAAGAGTCGATTACATTAGCAGCAGTGGGAAGTCAAATTGATTAGTCTTGCACATTATATGCCAGCCGCACAAATGTTGTCTTATAAGAGCTGTGTTTAATGATGAATTTATTATATAAATCCTTCATCCAGGGATCATTACAAATATAGCACATTTTAAAGAAACCACAATTGATAAAATACTGAAATATGAGCTCATGATAGATTCTGCAGCAGAATTGCTTCTGTTTTTAATCTTAGTAAAGCTTCTTGGATGAGGTGAAGGATTTGTACAGCTGCTGCTTGAGAACAAAAATCCCTTAGTTCTTGACCTTTACCCCCACACAGGAAACTCATCAATGATACAGGATTATCAGCTCCAGGATTATTTGTTTTGAGATATGGATTTTCAATATCATAATCAAAAATGTCCTTTATCTCATCTGAAAAGCACTTTCTGACCACAAAAGACGAATCATAACTAAGAAATAGAAATGTAAAACTTATTTCTTAGTCGTCACTCTTTGCCAGACTGTCAGACTCTCTAACTATTCTGCACTGCCGCCTCTTCTTTTCCTGCAGTTTGAGATTGTCTCCCAGCACCTGGTGTTTGCCAACTGTATCCCACTCATCCTCAAGTTCTTCAATCAGAACATCATGTCCTACATCAGTGCCAAAAACAGGTGGGATCATTTTCTCTTTCTCTGTGGCCTCGCAAAAAAAGCACTGCGGTTCTGACTAGCTTTGTTTGGTGCATATTTACTGTATCTTTAAAAAAAAAAAAGTGCTCGGCAGACACACAGGGTTTGTGTTTGAAGACCTGCTGGTAAGACAGGTAACCAACGATCATGGGCAGGTTGCACAGATGGCATCGCAGCAGCAATGCCATGACAGGAGATTCAGGTGTGAAAGTAAAAAATAAACATTAAGCCGCAGGAGTCTTACTCAGCAGGGGGATTTGTCAGGACAACCTGTTTTAGCTCAGTTGCAGGCTGTGGAAAAGTAGACAAGACTTTATAAACTTTCTTTTTCAACTTTCTTGTGTGTTATTGTGTCTTTGTTGCAGTATATGTGTTCTGGACTTTCCCCACTGTGTGGTCCATGAGATGCCTGAGCTCACAGCTGAGAGCCTGGTGAGTCAAAGTGCTGTCATCCTCACTAAGAAAGTAGCCTTCCGTGTGTATTTTATTATGACCTTGGTGTGTGTTCTGTACGTGTGGGTTTTTTAGGAAGCAGGAGACAGCAACCAGTTCTGTTGGAGAAACCTGTTTTCTTGCATTAATCTGCTGAGAATATTGAACAAGCTGACCAAGTGGAAACACTCTAGGACAATGGTGAGTAATTCTGCATCACTGCAAAAGCCTCATACTGTGGCCTTAGGGTGGGACTTTCTGCTGGCTCCACTGTAAAACGTACCTTATGTATCTGAAAAATCATATTATGATGTTTTGAGTGTTAAACACAGTGTGGGTGACACATGGGTGTACATTTCAAATCAGCAAAATCCAACTGAATTCACTTTCTTTATCTTTGAATTTGCTAAAAGAAAATCATTTTAAAAAGATATTTTTTGCTTTTGTATTAAAAAAAAGACAAGCTTATAATACTTAATAGTAGACTTAATGTCTTGGTAAAGTGGATGTATGACTAGAGCTACCATCTGTGTATCCTCATCAGCATCTGAGTGCACATGCAGGGGCCCAGCAGGGCGGTGGGCCCTTGGACAAGAAATTGTCCTGTTATGAACTGGTACAAATCCATCAGCACAGAACAACCATTCATTGGTATATTGCAGAAAAACAGTTTATTCATCGTATAGGCGTCGTGATGAAGAAATGTCTAATAGGTTATCAGCATCCCTGTCATAGGCCATGCTCAAACATGCACGCCTAGTCAATTCTATTCCCGTTTCAGATGCTGGTGGTGTTCAAGTCTGCCCCCATCCTTAAGAGAGCTCTGAAGGTAAAGCAGGCCATGATGCAGCTCTACGTTCTCAAGCTGCTTAAGATCCAGACCAAGTACCTGGGCCGCCAGTGGAGGAAGAGCAACATGAAGACCATGTCGGCCATCTACCAGAAGGTCCGCCACAGGCTCAATGACGACTGGGCGTATGGAAATGGTAAAGAGCAGTCTATGATGTGTTAAAACTGTTAAAATTACATGCAGTTTTGTTTTTCATTTTTAAGTTTTGATTTAGGACTTATTGTGCACTAAGGAGATAAATTGGTATATCCACAGCAGCATCTATGTTTTTTTGTTTTTCTTTATGTTATGAACCCCCTCATCCCTTTTTGTTTTCCCATATGGAATTTTTAGTAATTCATATTAACTCATAGTGTAGACTTCAAAATCTAAACAATAACTAATTAAAACCAAGAAAAGAAAAAAGTAACATCATAAAATAAAAAAAATTATGTAATACACAATAATAGATTTATAGTTTGTTTCTATGATCAACTATGTTTTATGAAACATAAACAAAAGGAAAAAACAAGAAGACCATATCAAAGCAAAACAAACCTGTATTCTTATTGCCCGTCACCCTATCTCTACCATTTTTCATACAGCATCCATACAGCAACAGCATTAATACGGATGCAATCCTCTTCTTTGTCACAGCCCTACAGTAATTCGTGATTTATGGTGATAAAACAAGTATATTATATCATCAAAAAAATTATCAAGTGCAGCTTTGATAAAAAAAAAAGCATCAAGACTCTTAGATTAAATTTGGGGAAATCTCCGGTGCTCAGAAAACACACTGGCGCACACTTAATCCTCCTGGACCCAAGACCCAGTTTGACCTCTCAGATGTTCATAAATAAAGTGGCCATGGAGATAATTAGTCCCAGCAGTCCTCCTCTAGCCTCACACAGAGCTGATTAATAGAACAGACGCTGCAGCATGAAGAATACACTCACCCAACTTGACATTTCAGATTAATAAATACTAACCAAATAATTGTGTACGTGTGTTTATGTGTGTGTCTGTATGGTTAGTGCGCGTGTGAGAAATACAATGCTCCAACTGCCACCTGCGAACAGTCTGGATTGTGTTGCCATAGCAACAGGGAAAGGGGGACTTTTCAGGGTCACAGTCCCTCGTGGGAGAGCAAGTGATCTGTCACTGTGAGGGTTAGAAAGAAAGATTGATATAGGAAAAATTAGAATGAGGTGGAGAAATGTTGTGTCGTCACTAAGAAAAAGGAGAATAAATACAAGGTGAAATGCTCAAGTGTGAACATTCAAACGTATATTTAAAAGAAGGTTCCTTGAGATTGATCAAATCCCCCCTCTTCTCTCCCCTCATCCCAGATATCGACGCACGGCCCTGGGACTTCCAGGCGGAGGAGTGCGCCCTGCGGGAGAGCATCGAGAAGTTCAACAGCCGCCGCTACGACAAGAACAAGAACGGAGACTTCACACCCGTGGACAACTGCCTGCAGAGCGTGCTGGGGCAGCGCGTGGAGCTGCCCGAGGACTTCCACTACAGCTACGAGATGTGGCTGGAGAGAGAGGTCTTCTCGCAGCCCATCCAGTGGGAGGGGCTGCTGCAGAATCCGTGATGGAGGGAGGGAGGGAGAGGGTTGGAGAGAGGTGGAGGGGAGGTCATGTACAAGCCTGTCGGAAGAGGTTTTAGGGCGTGTTCTTTGTACAGAAATGGAGTCTAAGGTGAGGAGAAGAAGGCGGGAATGGGGGTTACGCTGGAGGGATGGGGGAGGGTAAAGAGAAAGAAGGCTATGTAGGGATGGGAGAAGATGGGAGGCAAAGGTTACAAACAAATGGAGCTTCCTACTGTGAGCTCTCAACAAATAGATGACACACACACACACACACACACACACACACACACACACACTCACTCTAACATGTCTAACACTAACATGTGCCTATGACTACTGTGAACACACATATACGTGACAGGCAAGAACAGAGGTAGCAGTTTATAAGAAACCGCTGTAGCAGGAGACTGTTTAGGCCAGTTATACTGCCCCCCCCCAAACTGTATCACACCACAAAAATACTAATCTACACCACTTCAATTTATATGCCGCTCTTTTTAAAATGTTGGTGCTTTTTTGACTCCTTAGTGACGTTTTCCTATTTATTTGTTCCAACGTGTGTGGTTAAACATTTTATGATTTTCTTTTTTTTTTTTTGAATGAAGATGTAAATTTAAATGATTTCTAATCAGTTTGTCTTTTTTTAACACAAAGCCTACTGTAGGTATCGGGTTGTAGATTGTCGGTGAGGGATTTGAAAGTTTTTCTTATGTATTTTCTATAAAAAAAAATTTAAAAAAGGGGCCACAGGGTCATTTTTGATAGTCCAAATGAAGTGCGAGCTATTCCTAAATGACATAGTGATCTCACATAATGTCACCAAAAAAAAAGAAGAAAAATACCAGCTGTAAGTGTATGGGTTTGTTTGAGAACGTAAATGTGTCTGCAGAAAGAAAATAGAAACTACCTTGTATAGAATCCTTGCTATTCTAGGTAAATCCAGAAGTCACAGAACCAAATCTATAATCACTCACGTCATCCAGGAAGTGTTCATGTTCACATATCGAACCAGCGTCCTGTTATGGTTCCAGAGAAAAGCTCAGGGAAGCCGCCTACCAGGCATACATTAGCAAGTTTAACCAGTCTTTTTTCTTTTGAAATGTAAATAATATTTGAAAAAATCTCTATCTAAGTGTGTTTTTGAGTGTGGATTAGACTCGTTTTTGCCCCTTGTGGTCCTTTGCGGGAGGGGGGGGGATTTACAACAGAAAAGACTTTAAGTATGAAGACTAACTAGTTGTTTGGGCAAATGTACGTCTCTGTTAACGGCCCCATCAGCTTTTCTATGGAACCATCCCAGGCTAATCGACCCTCAGCAATTATCAGAATAAGCAAGAATTCTCGGTTTCCGTTACCTTAAGAAAAAGATGTTTTTATCTACAGAGGGTTTATCTTCCGCGGAAGTAGCCCAGAACAGACAAACCAAACACTGGTTCTAGATTTGGGCTTAGGGTGCCGTAGTTTCTCCTACTCTCTTGGAAGGCTGAGCTGTATTTTTTGGTTGCAATCTGCAGCTTCACCACTAGATGTCACTAAATCCTGCCTACTGGTCCTTTTTAAAAAGGTTAATTATGGCTCCTCCCTGCTTCCACCTGCAGACTCCCTCTCAATCTGCCCCACAAACCGCACAATATGTAAACCACTGAACTCCTTGGTGGTGGCCTTGGTGAGCACTCTGCCACCCTTGCTCGGAAGAACACACAGCTGTCACACAAATGGTGCTGTTTTTCTAGTTCGTCTTCACCTTAACTTATTCGTTCCTTCACATCCAACTACCTAAGCGGGAGAGTCGAGAGCTCCTGGGAATGTCTGAAACTGAAGCACAGAAAAGCATGGTCACCTTTTTTTCGTATCGCTCTTGCTCGGTTCAGATTATCTTTATGCCTCCAGGGGTCAAGAGCAGTCATGTGCTATCTTTGTATAGAACAGTGATTTTGACACAATGTGCATGGCCACTGTTTGGTTTTGAGTACCTGTTCACATTTCAATGTGGTATTTGGAATGGCTATTTTTTCTTTCGTCTAATGATGTTTCCAGCACAATTAGAAGTGTACTTTTTTCTCTCAAAGTCAGCGTTCTGCATTACAATGGATTTATTTTTCTTCTTCCAGAAGGTGAAATCTTAAAAAAATTAAATAATATTGTATACTTCTCAGGTTTATGGAGATAATATATTGCAAAGGTTTTAAAAGCTTCCTTGCCATCATCTAGCTCACTATGAATACACATTTATGGTCACATTCTTGTACTAAAGTAACACCTGACACACTAAACATTTACTGCATAGGCTGTACATGTTCACTAAACACAATAACTCATGGTGAGTTTGTATTTATGTCAGTTGCATTTCAAGTTCAGATGTATTTTTTGTATCTAGTGCCAAATTTAAGTGCCATTTTCTATTTTTATTTCATTGTTGTTGCCTTCATGATCATATTTAAGGTTTTTCATTCAAGTCACAGCTGAAGGTTTGCAATATGAAAATGTTATTTTCTACCTGAAAACTGTACAATCAATGAAAAATAGCTGTTTCTTGTATCTGGTACAGTATTTTAAGTGTTTAGCATTGTATGCATGTTACTACAGTATATGTGTTTTTGTTACACACATTTCCATATCTGTATAGTCTAGATAAATACTCAATACTGAATTTGTTCAGGGGTATGTGCAATTACAGATCCATAGAGGCATTATTCAATAGAATGAAAAATTACAATATCAGAGTTGCTTATTAAACTATGTCGAACAGTTTGCTTGATTGTTTGTGAAGTAATTATTCCTCAGCTGAGTGAGTCACACACACAAAATCACTGAAGGTCAAACTGACCACACACTCACATCACACAGCTCCTCGGGCCAATGTTCCAACAGTTCGGGTACAGCTGTTATGGACAGGGACGTGAGCATATGCCCTTCTGTGATTGGCTGGTGGTTTAATGATGTAAAACTGCTCAGTGCTCGTCCTTCACTCTAATAATCAAGAGCCGGTATAACCAGTAAGGTATTTATAAAGCAGTTTCTTCAGGGATTTTTTTTATTTAAATAATGCCTGCTACTAGTATTCCTGGATTTATTTGAGTGTAGCATATAATGCACCTCTCCTCTCGCCGCTACATAAAAGCAGAGTGACAAAGGGTCAGAAAACATAACCCCGATGTTACACTTTCTGGGTGAAATGAAGCTTACACAAAGAGACACTCGCTGTGTCTGAACAGCGTGGCCAGTAAAGCGGGAGACACAGCTGAGAGAGTAACTCCCAGGCAAGAGACATGACTCACTGATTGCAGGGACATTTAACCACCAATACACAGAAATACATGGATGCGGGTAGAAACACAGTTCTGTCAGCGTTTAGTACAGTGAATATATTTATCACATGCTCAAAGACTAAATAAACTGGAAGCATGGCAGTTTTCAGACGATGAGTCTTTTCTAATGCAGTTTAATGTGAATGTAGAATATATTATACAGTGTTTTATACAGTGCAGTACAAAACTTTTGCCTAAATGTTGTGCTGCATTTTCAGGCCCAGCGCCGCTTTGCCGTGGAACTCCCCCGTCCAAACCAGTCCCTGTGTGTTAGTGAATGCCCCTTCTCCCTCCAACCTATAACACACCAGTAAAGACATTAAAAACCTTACATTTTTATATAATTGTATGGTACAACAAAATAAAATACATCCCCTCAAAAAAAATAGATTTATTATCAGAAATGCAACTACTGCTGTCATACAATTAACTCTTTAATTTAAGTGGGAAATACCATATTAAGATGCACTAAACCACTGATTGCTTTGGAAATGTACAACTGGGGCCTTGCAGCTTTACTCATAAAGGACATGTCTCTGTTCAGAAACCATTAAAGGAATGACGCCATAAATTAATTGCTTCTTTTTTTTTACCTGTTCTTGTTAAATGGACCTTTGTAACTAGAGCCATCTGGGAAGGTGTATGTTCCCGTGCCGTGGTACATGTTGTCTTTGAATTCTCCTTCATATAGTGCTCCAGAGGGATGCTGCAGGGCCCCTCTGCCATTCATCTGCGAGACAGACAGAGAGAGGAAGAGAGAGCATGTAGAGAGGAAATACAACCACATAGACATCACAGGAAGTAAGGTACGCAGAGTAAATACATACTTTGTCTTCATGCCACTCTCCAGTGTATATGGCACCACCTGCTGAGGTGTGTTTACCAGCACCGCTCCTCATCATCACCCCTGATGCAGACCTGCTGCACTCCCCCTCTGTGGAGAAGAGGAGCTGACACACACCTGTGTAACTGTAATGTAAAGCTGTATCATCAGCTATCACTCACCATATCTGTCCCCATTCGGAAAAATGTAGGACACCTTTATAGGTCCTCCCCCTGGAAACAAACACACTTATTTACCTTAAAAGCACCTCAAGCTGGCAGGTGAATGTACAAGTGTGAGTGTGTAACTTGGATATCTACCTTGAGTTTTTAAATAGTCGTTTTTCTTCTTGTCTGAAAGTGAACATTACAAACAAAATTAGACAGCAGAGAAGAAAGACAGAGGAAGTTGTATTTTGTGTGTGTGTGTGTGTGTGTGTGTGTGTGTGTGTGTGTGAAATCACATTTTCACAATCACACCCCACCAGACATCCGTGACAGCTTCCCCCAGTCGGCAGATGGCCGTCAGAACCGACAGGAAACGCTGGGTACCGGCCAATTCCTGGACTATGAAAAGTCAAATAACTGTTTAAAAAGTTGTGAAAATGACACAAGCGAACTCTATACTATATTTGCTCACTAACTCACGATAAATTAAAAAGAAGAGGCAGTCTGTTGTACTGGCGGCTCGACGCAAACTGCAGTTACCATGGTTACAGGTTGGCGCAGCCCTTGCTGTAAATTAAATAGTCTTTTTTTTTTTTTTTTTTTTTTTAACAGCGTTACAATTTTAATTTAATTTTTTTTTTTAGTTTAGCTCAAAATATGTCACATTTAATTTAGTCCAACAACCTACATAACTTATATTGCTTTATGCATTTCCGAGCTCAAACGTTACCGGACACCGGAAAAGAAACTTTGAACTCTGTGTGTCGGCCAATGAAAAAGATGCAGGCTACCGGTGGTCGAAACAGCTGTCTCAGGTTTGTTCACGTTTGTTATGAAAGTTAAGTTCTTCAAGTATTTTGACACTTTATCACTTACGACATATTTCCATATTCTCATAGCACTATTAAGCATTTAAACCTGTCGACTTGACTTTTGAGAAAGCTCCTCTCCGCTTGCTACTTAAAGTGAGAAGTGAGGAGTGAGCTTGCTAGCTGTTAGCTTGCTAGCTAGCTGGAGCTTGTTATACTTTACTGACTGACTGACACGAGCTACATCCAGGTCTTTTACAGCCTGCTAACCAAAACCCTTTTGTCGGGCAGCCATGCGTGAAGTTAAATGGCCATCGCTCCGGTTGGGTTGTTGGTCTGCACGCCCGGTTTGATTGCATAATTGTAGCCACCAGCGCTTTGTGTGTCAGCCACCATCTCATTGCTTGCGCTTGAACTGCGATGCCACAACGAGCCACCCCACAGCTATACTGTGCGACTCTGTGCACTGCAGTGGATGTGCTGCCCGGGTCCGCAACTAGCAGCTCTCTCTGGTGTATCCAGGATTATCGTACACTCCCAGGGCTCATAGGAGTTATTCAAGCTGTGCATTTTATGGCTCTCTCTCTCTTCACAGATTGTTTGCTGCTATGGAAGGACACTGATTGAAGGTGAGTGCACTTTGGTGTGACAGCAGTGTATTTTAAGCCATCTGTGGTGTGTAGGTGGTGATACGTTTAAAGCTAGACTGTTGGAAAAAAAATGTATTTTCTGTGATGAAACTGTTAACAGAGAAATGAGTGCGAGGAGAAGAGGTGGGAAGCCAAACAGAGGAGGGGGGAGATTTAACAAGCCAAAAGGAGGTGGAGGTGGAGGTGGTGGTGGCGGAGGTGGAGGTGGAGGCGGAGGCGGAGGTGGAAGTAGGAAAGGAGGAGCTGCTGGCTGGGATGATGACGATGATTTCAGCCTTGATTTTGGACCCTCTCGTTCCAGCAGGTATACACTTGTAGTAAAGAAATTAATTAATTTAAGATTCACCTCAGTGTGCTCATCCTCTCTTTTACCTTCTCTCTCTCTGTTTACTTGGCTTTGCCTCCAGACCCAGCAGAGGACGAGGTGGAGGGGGCGGTGGCGGCGGCCGTGCAGGTGGCGGTGGCCGTGGAGGTGGCGTTGGCCGTGGAGGTGGCAGGGATGGAGGTCGAGGAAGGGGAGGAGGTAGAGATCGAGGCAGGGATGTCGGAGGCGATTGGAAAGGCAGCGGCAAGGCTCTCCCAAGGTCCCTGGCGAGGACCAGAACGTGCCCGAAGTCTGCTGACAGCATCAGGCCGGAGGTGAGCACCATGCCCTTGCAGAGGATATTCATGACTAATGAGAATCAAGAACAACTCAAGGAGCTGCTGCGGGATCTGCAGTCCCAGGACTTAGATGAGCCTTATGAGTGAGTACATTTTACTAAGAGAGTAATTGGGGATGTTTTTTCCACTGCTAGCTCACATGAACTCATTTCATCCTCCATGCCTCAGTGAATCTGATTCAGATTATTCGGGGGGAGAGGAGAATGAGGAGGAATTTGATGAGTTGGACCACCGCGATGAAGGCCAGTTTTGGGGCACTAATGACGAGCCTGTGGAGAGAGCAGAGAGCCCAGCATATGAGCTGTATGAGTCTGGTGATGAAGGGCCCACCCCTGAACCTGTAATCTCCTTATTTGCCATAGGAAAACTCTCCAGGTGATGTACAGATTTGTTTATTTCTTTCAATAGGCAGGAGTTGACAGTGTATGTGCTGCTATGATGTCGGTTTGTGGAATATTTAGCTTGTCTTGTAACCCTTTGTTTTCTCATCTTTCCTCTGTGTAGGTATGGGTTTGACAGGGAGCGCAGCAAGCAGGCATTGGAGTCTGGTGGAGGGGAATTCGGGGCCACTTTGGAGCAGCTCCTCCACCAGATTTTCAGCGAGCGCTATGGCCAGAAAGCAGTTTCCCCCGATGGCCTTGAAGGGGTGCCAATGGATGAGTGTTTGAGCCAGAGACAGGAAGAAGCTCTGGCTCTAACTGCCATTTACGGAGAGCGCTTCAATGAGCGCATTGCCAATGCAGTCTGGACAGTGACCCTGGACCTCTCATTCATTAAAGACAATGCTGCCAGGAATGGCAGGCCAGCTGGGAGTCGAGGTGGTGAAGGAGCTGTTAACATCCGCGACGTCTGCCGATTCTTCCTGAAAGGGCAAGGTTGCCGGTTTGGGGCAAAATGCAAGTTTAAGCACCAGCTCCCCACTAAAGGGAGATCTGAGGCTGGTTCCCCAGACCTGATGAGCCAGAGCCAGCCTGGCTTCAGCAGCTTTTCTCCTCCCGTGTATGAACTAGAGATCCGTTTCCCCAAAGGAAACCGTTACCCGTTTCAAGCACCAATAGTCGCCTTCAGCACCACCGACGAGTCTGTCGCGGCTGCAGGGAGGCTCAGCGTGACTGAAAGATTGTTTGGAGAGGCGCTGGCTGCAGCAAAGAGCAGCGAGCCTGTTGTTTACACTCTGATCACCATATGTGAGGATGAAACTACCATGAATGAACTGCTGGCTGTCAGTCATCACAAATACAGCACGCCGCCGCCTGTTGTGGCGGTTCCTCCTCTCTCTCTTACCATAGCTAAGAGTAAAAGTGTGAAGAGCAATGCTTCTGAGGAAAGCAGTAGTACCAGTAGCAGTAATCACACAACCAGCAGAAGGACTGCTCCACCTAATAACCAGAGACCCATAGATCGTGAGTCAACAAGATTATTTACTTTATATTATTTATTGTCACTATTTTCACCAAGTAAAGTTTAACACTGTATTTGTGTATAAATTTACATCACTTCTGTCTTTTAAAGTGAAAGAGACAGAAGCGGCAGAGGAGCTGGATGAGAGGGACGAGGAAGATGAGGACGAGGCCGTTCCAGTCGAAAGTGAGAGTTACGTTAATCTGAGGAAGAAGATGGTGAATAAGCACAACCTGAAGATCGACAACCTACTGCAAGAAAACGGCAAGCTGTGCCGAGAGTTCCAGAAGAAACAGGTAAAAGAAGACTAACAAATGTCTTATCCTAACCTTTTATCTTACTCCAAATCCTCTCTAATGTATGTGTTTTTTTTAATGCATTGCTGTCCTTCCATCTTTCCGTTCACCCAGTCATCCAGGCGTTTCAGGTCCATGTTGGAGCAGAGGAGGAAACTGCCGGCTTGGAACGAAAAAGAAAACATCCTCGACCTGTTAGACCGGTGCCAGGTGCTGGTGGTCAGCGGGATGACTGGGTATGGTGGAAAATGCTATTTTAGTCTCCTTTATTTGGTTGAAGGAAAAACATGCCTACATTTTCTTGCTCATGCTATTCACACCTTTCTGTAATGAATATGATTCTGTTTAATGTTTATTTTCTGTTACTTCTCTGCAGGTGTGGTAAGACCACTCAGATCCCTCAGTTCATTCTGGATGCATCATTAAGTGGTGGCGCGCAGCACGTGGCCAACATCATCTGTACTCAGCCACGCCGTATCTCTGCCATCTCTGTGGCCCAGAGAGTGGCACAGGAGCGTGCAGAGTGTCTGGGCAACTCAGTGGGCTACCAGATCCGCCTGGAGACTGTTAGGGTAGGGACACATTTGACATCTAATATGGAGCATAGTCAAAGTTTATGTACCCAAGCTTTATATTCTAAAATAATGTTTTTAACCTCTTTTATCACTGACCACTCTCTTCTGTTAGACGTCTGCCACCAGACTGCTGTACTGCACCACAGGCGTGTTACTGAGGAGACTGGAGGGCGAGGCGGACCTCAAAGGCATCACACACGTCATTGTGGATGAGGTGCACGAGCGAACGGAGGAGAGGTGAGATTATGCAGATCACCCTGCACATATGGTACAGGCTCTTCCTTCGTGCATTTTCAGCTGTCGTTTAACAGCTTTTGCAGTTTATTCATTCTCAGATGTTTCTTAAAGCGGGCAAATATTTATACATTTCTTCTTTGTAGCTGGTTTCTTGGTCACTTTCTCTCTGTTTCATCTTTTCTTTGTCAGTGACTTCCTGCTGTTGGTATTAAAAGACCTGATTGTGCAGAGGCCAGACCTGAAGATCATTCTAATGAGCGCCACACTTAACGCTAACCTCTTCTCTGAGTATTACTACAACTGTCCCACTGTCCACATACCGGGTAATGAATCTGTTTTAGACATGATATGCACATTACACGTTCAGCGCAGACCTCGTTCCATAGATTGAGTGAATTTCGCTTGTTTCAGGGCGTACTTTTCCTGTCGACCAGTTCTTTCTTGAAGATGCCATCGCTAAAACCCGGTAAGTACATCCTCCTTCACTCCAACAAATATTTTTAACATTTGTTTTGACTGTTTGTTTCTTGCATTGTCTCGATAATCTAGTCAGTTTTATTTTTAAAGCCCATAATCAATAAACAATACAACCTGTACAGCATATGACATCTTCTATTCTTAGACCCTTGATTCAGATAAAGAAAAACTCACCCAAAAACCCTCATCCAGGACAGACGGACATGCAATAGATGTTGTGTCTGTGTAAAAGATACAGCAAAAATTACACTATTGACAATCAGGATTACTAAATTATACTTAGATTGTGGTGAGAGACAACAGGTCCAGATCTAAAACATCGCAATGTGTCTTTATTTTCCCAGCTATGTTATTGAGGATGGCAGCCCTTACATGCGCTCAGGGAAACAGAATTCTTCTTCCACAAGCGGGCGAGGAAGCAAAGGAGATCCAAGGGACATGGTGGACAACTTAGGTGATGACATGTGGAACTTCATGTCTCTCTGTAAGAAGGACTTTGTCAAAGACTCCATTCCAGACCAGCAGCTCAACCTGCAGGAGCTCACGGTCAGATACAAAGGTGAGTTTAGAACATAGACAAGTATCATAAACTGAACTGATCTGCTGTATGGGTTCTTAAACTGCCTCTCCTTGGTCTTATCTGAATAAAGTGTTGCATTTTTGTTGTGCTGTTGATGCAGATACAAAGAGGTCTGTGCTGAAGACCATTTCTGCAATGGACCTGGACAAGATCAACATGGACCTGGTGGAGAGCCTGCTGGAGTGGATTGTGGATGGAAAACATGACTACCCTCCAGGTAAGGATCACCCACGTATACTCAGTCGAGTCCAGGTCCATTCAAGACTCTTGGCTTTGATCGTATTGGTGTAACCTTTTTGTTTCTGTATCCAGGTGCAGTGCTTGTATTTCTGCCAGGCCTGGCTGAGATCAAGATGCTCTACGAGCAGCTGAGGTCCAACAGGTTGTTCAACAACAGGGGCGCAACCAGGTCAGAATCTTAAGTCATGTGTGCTTACAGCAACTTCAGTTCCTGTTATTGTTAGTGTTCATCATATCAGGGTATATATATCATGCTCTGTGGTATTTTCTTTCTGATGTAAATTTTTTTTGTCTTTAAAACAAAAAACTTTAGACACACAATCCTTAGTTAAGTACAGGATTTTCACAAATGCACTTTTTTAATGAGTGCTACTGTATGTTTCATCCAAATACTTAATGCTTAAAATCATGCATGTGGGTTAAATCATTTGTGGTTATTCTAGTATTGTACAAAATATATTGGGTGTGAGCCTTTTTTTTACCAAATGGCCATAGTTATGTGGGGAAAGGAACACTTACTAGTTTAAGTCAAGTGCTAATGTGGATGTGCTTTCCCCTCGTTAGGTGTGAGGTGTACCCGCTCCACTCAACCTTGTCCAATGAGGAGCAGCAGGCGGTTTTTAGCCGGCCCCCAGATGGTGTCACAAAGATTATCATCTCCACCAACATCGCAGAGACCTCGGTAACCATTGACGACGTAGTGTATGTCATCGACTCCGGCAAAATGAAGGAGAAAAGGTAACCTTGTGTTCTTTGAATATACTGTATGTGAATTTGTGCACTTTAGTTAACAGTGATTGTAAATTGTATAGTTTTTACAGTAGTTTTATTCTATTTTTTTTTTTAATTTAACCAGGCAAGGCATTAAGAACAAATTATTATTTACAATGGCTGTTTTTATTTGAGTGTTGCAGAACTGGTTATTTTTGAAATCTTAATTTTTCACTTGGTTATATTTTCAGATATGATGCATCTAAAAGCATGGAGAGCCTAGAGGACTCGTGGGTTTCTCGGGCCAACGCATTGCAGAGGAAGGGTCGAGCGGGTCGCGTGGCCTCGGGGGTCTGCTTCCACCTCTTCACCAGCCACTGCTTCCAACACCAGCTGGCTGAGCAACAGCTGCCTGAGATCCAGAGAGTGCCTTTAGAGCAGCTCTGCCTCCGGTAGATCCATCTGTTTGCTCTTTGCACAATGCCAACCTGCTTTGTTTTCTCTGTAAATGCAAATAAGATTTAAATAATAAGATTTATGTATGACATGGCTATTGGGATTTATGCTTAGAAATAAAGGGAAACTGGGTCAATACAGGGTCTTCTCTGCTGTAGATTTTAGGATATGCGAAACAATATTTCCTCATGCTAGTACTTAACATTTCGCCCTCTCCCCTTTTTAGAATCAAGATCCTGGACGTGTTTGCTGAGCGGATGCTGGAGTCGGTCTTCTCTCGGCTCATCGAGCCCCCGGCTATGGGAAGTTTAGATGCAGCCAAGCAGCGCCTGCAGGACCTGGGAGCTCTAACTGCAGATGAGAAGCTGACCCCGCTGGGCTACCACCTGGCCTGCCTGCCCGTCGACGTGCGCATCGGGAAACTCATGCTGTTCGGTGCCATCTTTCGCTGCCTCGACCCAGCACTCACCATTGCTGCCAGTCTGGCCTTCAAATCACCATTTGTAAGAGCGCTTGCCACTGTTGAAAGATCATATTTGTCACTTCTTGGGATCACATGCTGATTTTAGGATCCTTTGTGGTAACAGTTTCCTTTTCTATATTTGCTACTGTGTCTGTTTTACAGGTGTCTCCATGGGATAAGAGGGAAGAAGCCAATGAGAAGAAACTGGGCTTTGCTCTGGCCAATAGCGACCATCTAGCTTTGTTACAGGCATACAAGGTACTGACTGGACTTATCTCTGTGGAAAAATTTGCTTGTGTAAATGCTTTCAAACATTTTTCACAACTTTTCAAATGATGGATGTGATGAACTTTCCCTCTCTTGCAGGGATGGTGCTGCGCTGCAAAGAATGGCAACCAGGCCGGTTTCCTTTACTGCAGGGAGAACTTCCTGTCTTCGCGAGGCTTACAGGTCAGGCAGTGCTGTCTGAATGACGCCTTCTTTCTATAATTCGTGTAATGCGGTACATGTAGAGTTGTTTAGTTTTTTGTTTTCTTTTAGATTTACCACTTCTTGAGGCATTGAAATCTGCTTTTTAGTTTAAATAAGTGACGTGAATCTAGCTCAGTTCAGGTTAATTGTGTTTTGTTTGAAACAATTCAGCTGGTCCTAGCAAACAAATTCACAATGTTGTGACGTGTGCAGGAGATTGCCAGTCTGAAGAGGCAGTTTGCTGAGCTGCTGTCTGACATTGGCTTCATCAAAGAGGGACTGAGGGCCAGGATTATAGAGCGCATGTGCTCTAAAGGCACTGATGGCATCTTGGAGGCTACCGGCCGTGAGGTAACACACATACACACATAGACACAAACGCATTATAGTACAGAAAGTGTTTAAGTTGTTGTTCCAATACATGTTGATGTATCAGTTATACAATACAGCTTTGTCCTTTCCAGGCTAACTTGAACTCCGACAACATCCGGCTGATGTCCGCCATGCTCTGCGCCGCCCTCTATCCCAATGTGGTTCAGGTGCATGTTCATTCTGTAAACTCAAACCAGTGATGAGTATAAAACCGTCTCATGCTTGCTACCTTTGCTTGGCTTCACACTCCTGCATTTGTTCCTTTTCGTTCCAGGTACGAGCTCCTCAGGGGAATTACAAGATGACCAGCAAAGGAGCGATGAAGATGCAGCCCAAAGCCAACGAGCTCCGCTTCATGACCAAGAACGACGGCTGCGTCCACGTGCACCCCTCGTCTGTCAACTACACAGTGAGATAGAAGAGAAAAGATTGTCGTCCCTTATTCAACAGGAAGTTAGAGCGATTCGCCTCATGACTCCTCTTTTGTGCTCCAGGTCCGCCACTACAACAGCCCCTACCTGGTTTACCACGAGAAGGTGAAAACGAGCCGCGTCTTCATCAGGGACTGCAGCATGGTGTCCGTCTACCCGCTGGTGCTGTTTGGAGGCGGGCAGGTCAACATGGAGCTGCACAAGGGAGAGTTTGTCATCTCCCTCGATGATGGATGGATCCGGTTCGCTGCTGCTTCCCATCAGGTCAGGGTTAAGAGATAACGGAGCTTTAACAGTGAAGAGCAAAGCTGTTTGGAATTTATTTTGCACATATCCATAAAAGTGCTTTTGCAAATGTTTCTTTAGTTTGATATTTAGTATTACAGATATATTTTTATGATAAACCAGCATGGCCTAAACCTCAGAGATTGATGAGGTTGTAAAATATTAACAAGCTGTTTGTAAAGTTTAATATACTTAAAGGTTTAACAGGCTTTTATGAGAATGCCAAAGAAAACCATGCACTGCAGTGACATATACTGTCACATAAAAAACATAGTAAAAGCCATAATAATCCAAATATTATTATTACTATACATTGTTTGTTCTGTTGCATTGTCTGTATTCACAGTAATAAACAATAGGTAAAGTAGAAGAAAATCATGCACCATTATGAGTTCAGTTATGATAAATGGTTATTTAAGCTGGTAAAGGAGAGGGGAAAAAAAAAAACTAAAAATGCACAAATGACTGTTTAAGGCAAATAACAGTACACACATTAACTTGACACTGTAAATGTGTGTGTGTGTTACCCAGGTGGCTGAGCTGGTGAAGGAGCTGCGCTGGGAGCTAGACCAGCTGCTGGAGGATAAAATCAGGAACCCGAGCATGGACCTGTGCAGCTGCCCCCGCGGCTCACGCATCATCCACATGATAGTGCATCTCATCTCTACACAGTAGCTCTGCTACTTAACGCCCCATCTTTTCACCCTTTTAGACACCCTCAAGGGCTTCAATGCATGGGGCTCTGCAGTAAAAATGTCTTTCTGCTCCTGCATCACTGCCACAAAGTTGCTCCATTAATTCAACAACCCTGAATCTGGTTAAAGTTTGTGTTGTGTCCATTACAGACAGATCAGCCCGGGCAGATGCTGTACATTCACCACACCATCCTGCTGCCACCCGACACTTCAATATCAGTTTACATGAAAAACAAAGCTATTATTGTCATGCTGCACTAGAGGCTTTTTAAAGCAAATTTTGCCTTTTTAAAAGGAAAAGAAAAAACGCTCTATGCAGTTAATCCACAAACCTCCATTATTGTTATTGCTGGAATATAACATTGCTATTTTCACAAGACTTATTTTGACAATTATGACAATATAATTTTTGGATGCCACTCTACTACTGTATGTACAGTAAATTGGTACACAACCGATTGTTGAATTTGATGTCATTTGTGTACAACGCATTTTATTTTGGGTTGTGCGTGTCTCGCTCACAACTGAGTAGTTTCTTGGGTCCATATTGGATTTCTTATTCTCACAGTGGCTGCATACTTGTTATGGTTGTGAATATTTATTTGTATTGCATGATTGAGAGATCCAAGAGCTTCTGCATGGTAGTCAGTTGTTTTACATTTACTGAATGTATTTAAATGTTACAGTGATGTCAGAACTACATTTTCACAATGTGAATGCAAGGGCTTTTAAAATCAGGAGAATTTGGGGAGAATTGCCAAAGACTTTTAAAGCTTATTGTCTTAAGTGATAAATTCCACTGCACACTGCACTATAAATAAAAAAAAAGGCAAAGATGGGTAGCTGTTGACTTTTATTTAAACTATAACTGATTCAGTTCTTGTCTTTTACATTCATCTCTTGTTGGGCAATGTGTTGTTTTTGTAGCCTAGCTGCATCTCGGATGCAACAAAAGAATTAACAGGCTTGTGGGTGACGCCAACCCCTTCATTCATGAGTCTGTCACGTCTCTACGACAACAGGACATAAACAAATGGGGTATCACTGTCCCAGTTGAAGCCATTCAGTTGCCACGTACAACAGTGCCAAGTCCAGAACTGGTAAGATAAACGTATATATTTTTAATTTGTGACTATTTAAAGCGTTGAAGGTGTTTTGAGGCTGCACTTTATGTAGTACCTAGCCATTAAACCATCTTGTTTAAATATAAAAACAGATCTACTGTACTGTTCTTATGAGTGCGTATCTCATTTTACAGATGGGTAAATAATCTCTCATATTGGAAGTAACCTTGATATCTTTCACTATGGTAAAGTATATTTATCGTAGACTATCAGGACTATTCAAACTGATCAATATAGTCTGTGCAGAGGAACCAAACCTAAACTACTTTGTATTTTATTTTGAAGCCCACTAAGTCCAAAAAATCAAGGTCCCAAAGTTCAAGGCCCGCCAAGAAGACTGGGAGTCCAAAAAAACCCAAAAAGAGGTCCTCTAGTGCCAAAACCACCAAGACAGAGGTGGACATCCTCAGCCCAGCAGCCATGGAGAATATCTACTACATTTCCCACAATGCAGTGGACTGTCTGGAGTTCAGAGGCTTTGGGTGGTCACATTCAAATAAAAAGAAAAAGAAGAAGGGAACAAAACGGAAGAAGAAAAAGTAGATCAGCATTGTTGCCAAAACCTAAGAGAAATTTCCCCCTTTTTTGGTTCAAGTGATTCAATCTTAAAACATCTTGCTGTTGGCGCCATCTGGTGGAGACATTTGTACACAGGTTTTAAATGCTGGAACCAGAGCAAAACAGCAATGTGGATGTGTTTTGACTTTCTTCCACAAATTCATACAAAACTGCTAAATTGTGCCAGTAAAACTCGACTTCATTCATGAGGCAAAGACGTACAAATTAATGATCAACAACTTTATTGTAAGATGAATGATTCAGAATGGTGTTTTGCACTTCCGTAAAAAAGTTTGGCGGTAACGGAAAAGTCTGAAGCTTGCAAAGTGAAATGTCTGAACTTTGTGGAAAACAACACGGAAGAGAAACTGCATGTTCTATTAATATTTAGTTTGGAGAACATTATATACACCTTATGTGGAGATGAGTGAACGTCATGTGTAAGTTAAAACACCACAGTGCATCCCAGAAAAAGGCCAGCTAACAGTGCCATGACACTGGAGTTAAAGTGATCCCACCAGTTTCTTGTAATATCTTTTAAATCCAGTCTTTGCACAATTTATCTTATAAAAATAGGCTCTAATGAGAACACGCCTATAAAAACTAAGGGAAGCAACAAATGCGGTTGCAGGCACTGTTAATATTCTTATACATATTTTACATTGTCAACTCCTTTTATGAAATGCATGCTTGTTACAACACAACCTTGTGAAATAAATAGTTTCTCTCCAAAGTCCATCTTTTCTTGCTTTCAACATGGTCCCCGCTTTGCTCACTCTGGGGGCTTCTTCTTGGCCTCCACGTCTTTTTTAAAGGCTTCGATTTTCTTGGCTATGTTGGGAACCTAGAAGGGAAAATGCTGTACAGTCAATACAGTTTATTATGTACAACTAAAACTAATGCAGTCTAATACAATAGTCCTGCAATGAATCAAGGTTCAAGGTATAATTATTTATCATTTTACAACACAGGGTGGTATAACGAGCTGTAGTTCCCTTTATGTTACTCACAAAAAACGTGAAATACAAAGTCATAATGAAGGTTAAAATGTTTTTGTTGCAGTTTTAGAAAGGTGTTGATTCAACATAAAAATAAAATAAAATGTATTTCATTTTGCCCAAAGGTATCATGTTCAGGGCGTGGTAGAGAGGGGCCAGTGAGACAAGCAGATTTAAAGACATTTAAAGATAAGATTAAACAAACTCACATCATAGTTTTGAGCCAGGTACATTCCGACAACATTTCCCAAAGTAAAGCCAGCCTGCAAGATAAACAACAAATGTCATTCAAGGCCGAACCATCAGATACACTAACATCTCCTGAGTGTCCATGTATAACTGTTAACTACACAGCGGGAGAGACATACTTTTCAGCTTTGTTTACAAACGTTAAAGAGGTTACTTTAAATTAAGTTACCACCGTCGAGACTTTTGACAGCAAGTTATCATTTATGCTAACACGTTAGCTAGGGTAGTTTCGCTAGAGGTCGATGTCATGCATGAGACCGTCGGTTAAACTCACCAGGAACTGTAGCATGGTGGATTAACGGAGGACTGGCAACGGCAGACTAACCTCCTGACTTAAAACCCGGCAGTAAGATAAAGGTTAGAGGGTCGAAATCAACCGATCTACTTGGCTAACGAAGCTAGCTCGCCCGTTTTCAACAATCCCTACACGCATGCGCGAGAAATAAACTCTCGCGTTATCTCCGAAGCGCGTGTACTGTAGTCTTTCCCCCCGCCTGAAATGCTGTCGTCCCCCGTTGGAGAAACTACGACTCCCGACACCGCACAAAACCTCTCGTCCGTCCAGTGGGTGTTGTTGCAATGGTGGTGTCGGTGGGACATTGAATGACTTTGGCTCCATCACGAAAATAGCTGGTTATATTCATTTTATTGATAAACCGCGAGCAATGGAGGCTCTTATCCCCGTAGTAAACAAGCTCCAAGATGTGTTCAACACAGTGGGTGCGGATATCATACAGCTGCCGCAGATAGCAGTAGTGGGGACTCAGGTAAAATGCTCTATGTGCATTTTGTTTTATAGCGCCTGTCATGCTAGCTAGATAACCTTGCTTTACCGTAATGTATGCACAGATAAAGAGGACATTATTAGAATAAATGTCGCATCTGTTCGAGGAGTAATGTGTACAATGAATTGAGGCTGCGCAGAGGTCTTTGTAGACTCACAGCTCTGTTAAAAATCCACATATTAAGTCTGCTCTGGCATTGGCAGTAGAATCTATTTTGATCTTCAATCAGGGCTATTTTAAGATCCTCATCCACACACTAACCTCTGTTAGTCAAAACCAGGTCATTGCTTGAGGAAAAGACAGGTGCAATTATCTGTTGGCTGAAGCCCTGATCGAGCATGGCTCCATATGAGGGCTATGCTGGATCTGAGTGTGTTAAATCAGAAGGTAGACCTTGTTCTTGTCCCTCCTCGTCTTAACTCGTGTGTCTATCTGCGTTTTGTGTCTCCAGAGCAGTGGAAAGAGCTCAGTGCTGGAGAGCCTGGTGGGCAGGGACCTGCTGCCCAGAGGGACTGGTGTCGTAACCAGGCGACCACTTATCCTCCAGCTGGTCCATGTGGATCCTGGAGATGCAAGGAAAAATGATGAGAGTGGTAAGCATCAAAATCCCTCTAAGCTCAGCAGTGTATTGGTCCACGGTAGTGTTTGGATTTTGCTTAAATCCTGTGTATGATGTGTCAGGATTCTTGCGTAAATCATTAGAATTATTAGGCGAATAAACACACATGGCGAAAAGAAACATCATATTTTTAATATCAAGCATGACGAAAGTAATAGAGTTTGCTGGTGCCCGGTATACAAGCACCAGTTTTAAAGTTCTGTCTGTCACTGTCTTTCTAATCACTTGCAGATGCCAGGGTGTGAAAATGCACAAAGCTTCACAAAGGTGCATTAAACAGGTGTCTCCACATTCAATAACCTGGATTAGCTTCTTAGTTCTGTTTCCTCCTTCTTCTCCTCCTCCTCCTCCTCAAAGCCACACCTGAAATTCCAACTGTCTTATTCACCGGATCAGTAACTGTCAGGCGTCGATCCTTGTATTAGCCGTGCTTGCGCAGAGTAGCTGTCTTTCAAGTTATAACTGTAAACCCACGCTGTTTTATTATGTGTCACAGGGAGAGAAGGTGAAGAGTGGGGCAAGTTTCTGCACACAAAAAATAAGGTATGAATTCAGATAATGATAAACACACTTAATAAATACTCTTGACTCTTTTCTGTCTTTATCTATCTTATTTTTGTTTTTGCAGATCTACACAGATTTTGATGAAATCAGGCAAGAAATTGAAAATGAAACGGAGCGAATATCAGGGAACAATAAGGTGAGACATCATTCTGTATGTTTTCTAATACAGACATTTACATGTGTGCTGTTAAGCTGAGTCAACTATTAATGAAGCACATCAACAGATGTTAAGCAAAGTCCTATACATTTCAAAGCAAAAAATGTCAGTAGACAAAACACAAAAAAATTCCTGTGACACACAAGGACCTTATTCACCATCAAGAGACGATATTTCAGGTCACTGCAGTAGGTGCTGCTATTATCTTCAGATGAGAGCGGGATGGAGGATTTAGTTTGACGACCTAGTGATGGAAGGCGAGGATGAAGAAGATCTGAAGCCTTACAAAGATCTTAAATAAGAACATACCATAAGCCATATGTATAAATAAACAGCTCATTATTAACTACTGTAGCAGCACATTCTGTCGATAGCTGCAGGCGAACCAGGTATTAGTGACACATAATATGTACAGAGAATTAAAAAGAATCCAGACGCAAAGAGATGAAGGCATAAATATTTTTTTTCCCCCAAATCTGAAAATATGAGTAAAGGCTTGGCTTTGGATGTAGCCCTGAGCTGAGCACACTGGATTTCACAGCAGAGCTTATATAGTGTGTTCATCAAATCTGAGACCACAGTGGAAAATCTCACCAACATTTTTTGGCATGTAGCTGAGGGCTACTGGGGTTTGGAGATGGAAGCTGAAAGGAGGGCAAATAGAAGAAAGACTTCTCATTTAGCTTTGTACAACTTTGGGTTACTTACATGACCACGGTTCTCTGAGTAGCATGAGTGAGTGTCTCTCTGGGAGTGGCCTCTTTGAGACCTCATCAGAAGTTCTAAGTGTGTCAGTGTCAGTGAGGATAGAGACACTCCCCCTTCAATTAAACTCATACTACACCAACAGTCAGTCAAAAACTTCTTCTTGCTGCCTGCAAAAGTTTCAACTCAAGCTGTTTCTTTGGGACCTAGAGTGTCCACCACCTCCGGCGCAAAGTTAGTCACTGTACACGTTGTTCTCAGTCTCTAAGGTAGTTCAGAAGAACCGTTCTGTCCTCACACATGAGTTTGAGCTGCTAATTGTTGCGAGTAGTGTTAGCCTTTGCAATTAGCCAAACTGAATAGCAATTCGCTCAGATATCAATACTTCCTCAGAGAGTAATCTAACGTTAGCTGCTTCCGCTTGGTAACAAAACAGAGCAGACACTACCACTCATTAGCTTCTTACCTTTAATTTGCAACACTCCCAAGTTAGCTATAGCAGACACTTTGCCGCCATTTGTGCCTCATAATAGCATTACATTTGAGTCACAGAACTAAGCATCAGTTTCTCTGAAAAATAAACTCATGGCAATCCGTGAAAAAGGTTGTTTACAACACTTATAGCTGTTCTGAAGATACTAATATTAACCTCAAAGACTCTTCCAATCATCTGGATAAAAACATTCTGTCTTCGCCACCATAAAAACAATAGGCCTTTTTCACAGCCTTTAAAAAAAAAAAAAAGTAGGGTAAACACAGGTGTCATCAATGATACTAATGAAGGCTCTGTTCCATTTATTTATGAGCCTTTTTAGTGCGCCAACATGCACAACAGCAACACCCTGATTCTGTTTGACCTGAGTGGAACGAAACATTAATTAGTATAATTCGTAACACCTGTGTTTACCCTACTATTCCGTGTCAATATGTCGGCTGTGATAAAGGCCGATTTGTAAACTTTTTCTCAACTTAACTTTTAATCCAAAACAAAGATGGAGCTGGTGGTCACCTAGCTTGGAAACAGAGTTGCAGCTTGGGAAACTTTAAAAAAAATTTTTTGATTGTGCAGCAGGCAGAATCTTCTTCATCCATATGATTAGAACAGGATTCCTGAAATACCTTCATAACAGCCTTAATTGTTGTTAAACAACCTTTTGGGTTTTTCAAACACCCCCGGGTAGGTAGAGAACTGGATACTCAGCTCTGTTAATATGATCAAATGTATTGCTAAGACAAGACAGGCACACATAGGGGCTATAGTGCACACTATTACACAGCAGTGTCAAAATAGCACTGTAACAGTTAAAATATTACTGATAATATTATTAATATCATCAGAATTGACAGCCAGTTGGAAAAAAACTAAAGATGTACGCCGCATAAAATCATATTTTTAACTTTAAAACAGTGCTAATCTGTTAAATATGCACTACACGTCTCTTCTTTTCTTGTCCCTTTTGCAGGGGATCAGTGATGAACCCATTCATCTGAAGATATTTTCTCCTCACGTTGTCAACCTCACACTGGTGGATCTGCCAGGAATCACTAAGGTAACACGTGCTGTACTTCCTGCTTCCTTTTCCCCAAGACAAGGCTTTGATCATCTCAACCCTCCAGGGAAATTTGTTATACAACGCTCAAAAAGCAAGATTTACC